CGCCGCGACTCACCTGACGGGTCATAAGAGACTTGATTTTCTGCATGTCAAAATCGTGAGGCAGCTACTTTGCCCCCGCAAAGACTCACAAATCACACCAAGCCACCAGACAGCGAACCGGGACACAGGGAAGCCATAGTGGATGGTCACGTGGAGCCCTCGACCGGGTCCTTCTTCCTTGCCCTGTGCATGCTGGGAATTGTAGTCTTCCTGTTGCTGTCAGCAGGCGCAAGAAAGGGGAGTCTCACCTGGGTACTACATTTCCCAGCATCAGAACAGCGGCTGCCGCAGGGTCGTGCGCCCTGGGCTTAGGAATCCGGCCGGCCTGAGCGGGTCTAACCTTTGTGACAGGTGCCTGGGATTAGGGGCGCAGGGCCTCTGAGGAGCCGGTCATTAGCCACGCTGACTGCCCGGAGCGGGACGGGGCCCGCGGGAGAAGGAGCGCCGGCCGGAGCGTCAGGAGAACCGGACCGGAATGCGGACGCCCGCCTGGAGGAAAGGCGCCCTGGCCCACGGGAGCGACCCAGCACGCCTGCACACAGGCCGCGGTTCCACCTGTAGTAGTTGAAATTTGGGAGAGTTAATGGGGGGAGTTTGGGCGGTGCTAAATTTTAAAATGACATTAAAATTCAAAATACAAAGACTCGCCAAAAATAACATGTTCTGTTATATCCAGTGAATTTCCATTTTTCTATTGGCCAAATTTCCAGAAGTGAGCTTTTTAATACATACTAAACACTGAAAAGCCAGAAAATGTGAAACATTTGTTTCACTCTGGCACTGTACATTTGAGAATTTTCTTCTTTTAATTTTTTAAAACTTTTATTGGAAAGTCAGATATACAGAGAGGAGAGACAGAGGAAGATCGTTCGATGATTCAGTTTCTTACAAACTGCAGAAAAGAACTCAAAGCTAACAATGCAATACTATGAACAAGCACAGCAAATCAGCGTGGTTCTCTACAAATATTTTCTAATTCAGCATACCCTAACACTACGTAAAATGGTTAAACTTTATATATATGTTCCTTTTCTTTTGCAATATTACAGGGGGAAAAAAGCAAAACAGAAGCTCCCCCCACAAAAAAGACCTTAAAAAGTCTGAAAGCAGCAGTCATTTATCAGAAAGATGACATGAGATGCCCTTAGAACTTGGACTTGTGCGAGCTGTGGTCACAGTATGCCAGTGCAAACTGGCAGACAATGGGGCTTGGAGGGACTTGGGGAAAGAGCAAATTGGAGCAGCAGGTCCCAGGAGTCCTGTAGGCAAGGGGCACAATTCTAATGGTCTAAACAAGAGATGTGCTGCAAATGTACCTTGCAGCTCAATCCCGCTTTAATGAGAAGGCCACATTTAGGAGTGGAGAGATGCGGTCCCCAGCAGGACATGAGCAGGCAGCAGCAGCTGGGGCAGGTGCTGGCGGGGAGTGGAGAGCTGGAGGGGCACTCCGGAGGGAGGAGACCGCCTGTTCATCCAGCTGCCCTGGGGGAGAGAGCCCGGCTGCTGGGAGGGCAGCCACGAAGGAAGCAGCACCCACAGGGGCACGGGCCCATGGCAAGGCCTCCGCTGGCCGCCCGCTCTGCCTCTGTTGGGTGTTGTCCTTGACCCGTCAGCCCTCTGCTTGCCAACAGTTTCCGCCGTAACCACACACATGCCACTCATGAAGGAAGAAGCTGTGTGTTCACCATTCATAAAGCCAGGCTTTTCTGCATAAAGCAAGACCAGCCTTACTTACATGAAAGCAAACGACTGAATTATGTAATTATGACAAAAGACTGAACAAAGTCCCCCCCCCACACACATTTACACACATACCCGCACCACCTGCACAGGAGTGTGTGTGTATCCTAGTGTGGTAAACATACATGCTACCCCAGTGACTCATTAAATTGCTTGCAGTGTAATCAACATGGACATGGATTGTTTTAGGGGAGGCGGATTTCCCATACTAAGTGTAAAGAGAACTAAGGTCATTAAACAGCAATGCCACGTCCTCTTTGTTCCTGGATATTATAAGACAAAACGTTTCCAAGGATCACAGGTGTGATGTAAGCTGTTGATGATGGGAAATTCCTTAGTGATAAAAAACAAAATCTTCAAGTTATTTTTTGCAGAATCTTGAAAAAGTTGACAGCAGTAAGAAGCTAAACATTGCTTGCAGGACAGCCTATGCCAACATTGTGGATTTGATTACTTCAGGAGGTTGAGTTTATAGCTAGCAAACTACCACTAGAGGGCGCGTTGTAACAGCGCTCCCAATAAAAATAACATTTCCCCAAGATCACATGTGTGATTCTTATGGATTTTAACTTACTTATGCAGCATCTACAATCACCTCAGGGCTGGAAAGCAGGGATGTTTTAAAATACAACAAAGGGAGAAAAACCTCATAATTTAAGATAATACCTTAACATGAAAATATATTTATTATATATAAAGCACTTAAAATTGAAGATGTTTTAAAGATTTATTTATTTGAAAGGTAGGCTAAAAGAAAGAAGGAGAAAAAACAAAGAGAGCGGGAAATAAGGAGAGAGACAGAGAGTTTCCAGCTGCTGTTTTACTTCCCAAGCGGCTGCCAGGCCTTAGACTGGCGCAGGCAGAGGCCACGGGCCTGGCATGACGTCTAGGTCTCCCACTTGAGTGGCAGGGTCCAAACACGGGTCGTCTCCTGTTTCCCTGGCGCATTAGCAAGGAGTCAGGAGTGGAGCAGCAGGGACTTAAACAACACCCATATGTGCTGCCAGCATTGCAGGCAGAGGCTTAACTGCCTACAACACAGTGCCATTCCCAGCAAACATTTAATTATGAAAAAGATTGGGGCACAACGCGGTAGCCTAGTGACTAAAGCCCTCCCCTTGCATGCACTGGGCGCATATGGGCGCCGATTCTAATCCTGGCTGCCCCACTTCCCTTCCAGCTTCCTGCTTGTGGCCTTTCCAGTTCAGGACAGTCCAAAGTCTTGGGAACCTGCACCTGCACAGAAGACCTGGAAGAGGCTCCTGGCGCCTGGCTTTGGATTGGCGCAGTCTAGCCGCTGTGGCCACTTGGGTAGTGAACCAGTGGATAGAAAATCTTTTTCTGTCTCTCCTTCTTTCTGTATATCTGCCTTTCCAATATTAATAATAGTAAATTTTTAAATAAAAAGATTGTCTTTTTTCTCTGATATTGCTAAGATTCCAGTGAAATTCATCATGAACCAGCACTAGGTTGGAAATTACCAGAAGAGCTAACCTAGCGAAGGCAAACCGTGATGGAGAGAGAGCTAGACGCCGAGAGGGAGCCCCTACCATCCGTACACCCTGCACGTGCTTTACGCAATCCAATGCTGAAACTGGCCTGCATTTGTTAACTTTACTTATTTATTTGTTCGTTTTATTGAAAAGACACAGAGAAAGAAAAAGAAACAAATAAGAATCTCCTATCTGCAGGTTTACTCTCCCCCCGCCCCGCCTCCAAACTCCCGCAGCAGCTGGAGTTGGGCCAGGGTGAAGCCAGGAGCTGGCAGCCAAATGCAGGGACTCCGACACAGGATGTGGCACAGCACATGGCAAACCCACGTGGCTTCTTTCATGGCTGGGCCAGCTGCTTGTTCCCTCTGAGACTCAGAAGAGCAGAGAGCATTTGGAGTTTGTTTCTCTGGGAACAACTTAACACAAGCACTAGTTAAGCCCTATCTTCAGTGCTAAGGCTCTGTGAGTCACTAGGATTTTTCACTGTATTCAAAGAACCCAAAGGGAAAATAAGCACGCATTAGAGTGAATCACAGTTAGTGAATGAAATCAGTGATAGCACACATTCAAGGTATAAGCACAGCACGTGGTGTAGCGTCGCTCTTCCCGGGCGTGGGGCCATTTTTCATGGTGAGATGATAAAGTGACCCCCAAGAGGACACGCGCTTCCCAGCTCTCACTTTCTTTGCCCAAAGTCCTTGCGAAGACCAGTTGCCTGCCTGGGTACAAAGAGTGTGTCCAAATTTGGGTTCCAAAATAGCTATCGTTGTTTTGGGGCTTGAACAATACTTGAGGGGTACTCTCCTGTCATCATTGAACTGTGGCGGGCCTTGAACCTGATTCATGCAAGCATTTCACTTGATCTGCTGCAGATCTGGTTAAATACTATCTAGATACTTCCCGTGTATGGAATGGAAGTCCAAGACCACGCCCTTCTTGTCAATAAGGGTTAACCTGTAACTTCATAAATCAGGTGGAAGCGCTAGGCAGCCTGCTGCCATGACAATGAAGAGGCCAGGCCAGAACACCGCAGCGCCAACAGCACAGTGGAGGCCGGATCCCTTCAGGCTCACCAGGTCACCTGCCCTGCGCTTCAGTTGTGGACATGTGGTCCCCATGTACAATCTGTTGACACTGGCGTTTCATTATTAGCGTGCGTGATTCAGTCAGCCCGCTTGGTGACACACTATCTGCTTTTCAAAGTATGAAGAATCCAGATTCAATAAAACCATGAAAATCACTTGTAATAGAAAATATTGCATAGAAGAACATATCTGTAAAGAGACTGTGGTGCTGTTTTGATTCTTGGTATAACTTTAACATGATTCTTAGAGAGTTCATTCTAAGAGTACTTGCATTTTTTTAAGAAGTATTCATTTCAAACCAGCAGTATACTTTCTGCATGGTATTAAACTAACCTTTGGTTTCTAAGGAAATTTCACAATATTCTCTCATTCTAAAACTGCACTTCCCTCCAATAAGGTCACCTCGATGTGTGTTCTCCTTCATGAGAATGTCAGCAACTACAAACAGCAGTTGATGACTAATGCCAAGAAAGTGTTCTCAAAGTCCTAAGCCTGTTTTCTTGCTCGGCACATAACAGGTGTTCCCCTCTGTGTCCTTTGTATACACATCCACTGTGTATTCAAATCATAGAAGCAAGAGGCAGGGTAGGGTCTGTTGCCTCACTGCTAATTTCCCTAGCAAATAAGGCAGCAGCTGCTGGTCCGTGAGGCCAGTTCTCACGGAGCACGAGGCACTGCATGTATGGGACAGGATGCTTGCATGGAGTCTTTCGGCGGCAAGGGTGGCACCTTTCAGTGCAAAATACTCCTCCTCCTCTTAGGTAAGGCCCCCAGGAACTGTGTTGTTGCCTGTCTGCTTTTCGTTATAGTTATTGCGGGTAAATGGTAAATATTTGCTACAAGATATAGACTGGCTCAGATAACTAAGAGAGGGCAAAATCTTTTTACAATAATACATTGTTCGAGCAAAGCAGCAGGGATATTTAAGAGAAAGGAAACTCAATGGACAGGCCATTTTTTGTTTTCTGGGAATAGCTGTCAGTGCCAGTCTCCCTCCTGAGGAGAGCTGAGACAGTCTACCTGAATAATCACTCTTTTCTTTAGGGAGCTAACAAAGAGGCTGAATGGGCCTTAATGTATTTATTTGGACAAATATTTTAATAGGCCACGAAATTCTGATTGCTTAAAGTGAAATTCAAGACTATTCATACAACTAACTTTCTTCTTAGTAAGCGATTTTAATTAAAGATATTGTGGCCAACTGTTGATTTGGCTTTCTCTGAAGTTTCTCATCCTAAGAAATAAGGAAAAAAGTGAGGCTCCAAACTGAGAAAAAAAAATTATATGCAAAGAGAAGAATGTGTTATAAAAAAAAAAGATTATATCATTGTGCCTCTAAAATCCCTTTCATTTTTCTTTTTTCCCAATGGCTAACCTTATTGGGCTTTTCCCCCTTACTATTTCTGTTTCATTCTTTATCCTTAGAACTGATGGGAGTATCTTCAATTTTCTCATTGTTTTATCTGTTCACCAGCTGTCCTGTTTTCCATTGTCCTTACTCGTTAGCTTCAAAAGACAAGTTGATTTCTTACCTTGCTTATAGTTCACCACAAGGAATTCAAAGAAAAGCTTTACTCTTTCGACTTGAAAAACAACTTAGCAGCACAGCAGTTTAAGTTCTAAACATATTTGCGGTTGCTGTCACTTGCATTCTTACTTTCATTGGCATGTTTTGTTAATTTTCTTTGTCAGTATGAGCGTGATTCAGATTTGAATATACAGTTGATAAATTTTTAAAAGTTGACTTACCTATCATTGCGATTGCTAACATTACTACAGCCAGTGTTCATGTGATCAAAGCTTGTAACAAATTTTTTTTTAAATATTTGAAATATTAAACTATTACCAGAACTTTGGAATGTATCCACTGTCTGGCCCCTGATTATTTTTCATTTTAAAGCAGTCAGAGTGTCATCATTTCACAGGTGATGGCTTTGTCATTGGCCTCAACAATTCAGTTTAGGAACTTGATGAAAATAAAATGTACCTTAGAGAAACAGCATGTTCATAGGTCATTGGAATAGTTGCTACATCTTGACACTTGCTCCTGAGTGCTGCACCACCGCTGGGAGTACTGGGGGGCAGCTCACCCCTTCCCTGCATCCTGCCGGAGTACGAATTATGTCTGGAAAGCCTGCAGGTGCGAGCTCAGTGGGCTGGCTACCAGGGCCCCGCTTACATCCCAGCAGCTATCCGCGTGTCAGACCCACTCCCTAGAGCTCACAAAGCTTCTTTTGCAAATTTACTTTTTCTTCCATAGGGAATATGTTGGAAATCTTTTGAATTTTTAGGCATATTGATTTTTTTTGTGTATTTTTTCTTTAAAAAAAAAAACTTTAAAAATGGAAGCCCAAAATATAGGCTTTGTACTACGTATCCAAAAATGCATGTTCCTGCTGTCTGTTTCTCTAAAGAAGCAAGAGTTTGTTTTCAGTCAACAGTAGTTGCACTGTGCTTCCCAACACCGGGAAAGTCAAAGTCACCTGCAGCCCAGCAGAGGTCACTTTGCGAGGTCTGATGTTTACACTCACAACAGTGAACCCGGGCGGGAGAAAGACCTCGGGGCTCCTTAACAAAGTACGCGTTCTAAGAGGATCATTTTTTTCTTGTATTTTAATTTTAATTCGTTTTTAGCAGATTCAGTGTGCTTTGTGGCTCAAATTCTAAGAACCCAATGATATCCTCTTCCTCCTTCTCACCTCCCTGCTCCTTCTTTTTCTCTTCTTTTTAATAACAGATTTTAAATGTACACTACAGTAAAAAGGCTTAAGACTTCACTGAAGAAGAGTCTCAAGCAGGAAGGCCTTTCTAGTGGGGATACAGACAATGGCTAAACAACAGTTGAATGGGAAAATGTCCATTTCACCTACAGAGAGTAAATTTTAATGTAACCACAGATTATTAAAGCTATGGTATCATAACATTCTTAACCACTGGTTTGATGAAGGTAGAACTGTTTAATACAGCTAGATTTGTAGCAATATTGATATACACAATTCTTTTCACTTTTTCTTTGTTTTTTTTGTTTGTTTGTTTGTTTTTAGTTTAGTTCTCACATATAAGGGAGAATAGAAAGTATTTCTGGGTGTGTCTTTTTTCACTCAACACCATGTCCTCCAACGAAGTGCATCTTGTTGCAAATGGCAGAATTTCATTCTTCTAATCGCTGAGGAGTGTCCCATAGTGTGTGTATACACCACGATGTCTCTAACCATCTAAGGAAGGATGTCTTGGGTGATGGGAGATTTTGGTCCTGTGAACACTGCTGCTAGAAACATGGTGGGTTAGATAGCTCATTGATTCAGTGTGGGTAAATCCCCAGCACTGGGGTTGTGGATCCTCAGGCACGTCTATTTCCCCTTTTAAGAAACCTCCACACTGTGTTCGCTGGTGGCTGCTCCAGTTCCCATTGCCACTTGCAGTGTGTAAGCGTTCCCCTTTCGCAAGCTCACCTGCAGTTGTGACTGATTTGGGTTTGAGTCGCTCTGACACAGGCGAGGTGACAGCTGCTGTGGTTTGCTTGCCCCTTAGGGCACCCTGAGCGTTTCTCACATACTGGTTGGTCACTTGGGTTTCTTCTTTGGAGAATTGTCTGTTGAAGTCCTTCATGCATCTCTCGACTGGCTCAGTTGGATTTTTGTGGCTGAGTTTTTCAAGTGGCTGATATATTCAGGATATTAATCCTTTACCAGAAAGTGGTTTGCAGTTTTTCCACCCGCTACTTTGGATAGTTCTTGACTCTATTGATCGTTTCTTTTGCTGTACAAAAGCTTCTGAGTTTCACAGAGGCACATTTGTTTAGCTTTGCTATCGTTGCCTTGCTTTGGGGGAGTCTTGTCTAAGAAGCCATCCCCTACGCCAACGTCTAGCAGTGTTTTCCCTGCATTTTGTCCAGCAGTTTCATAGATTTAGGTTGTAAGTTTAGAACTTTGGTCCATCATGAGTGGATTTCTGTGTATTGTAAGAGATATGTTTCTAATTTTATTCTTACACACACATACATCCAAATTTTCCATTACTATTTGTCGAAGAGATTATACTTACTCCTGTATAGTCTAAGAACTTCTGTCAGTCAGTTGTAGATATGTGGATGAATCTCCGCGCTCCGTGTCCTGTTGGGTTGATCTATGTCTGTTTTTGTGCTGTTCGATGACTGTAACTGCCATCTGCTCCGAGGTTAAGTGTTGTGAGGCCTCCAGTTTGATTTATCTCATTCAGGATCACTGGCTATTCTGGGTCTTTTGTGATTTCATATGAGTTTGAGGATTGCTTATTCCAATTCTGTAAAGAAAGCCACTGGTGTTTTAGCAGGGATTGCACTGAGTTTGTAGATTGCTTTAGATGGCTCTGATGTCTTAATGATATTGATTCTTCTGATTCATGAGCAAAGAATATCTTCCCACTTTCTTTGTACCCACAATTATTTCTCTCATCAATGTTTAATAATTTTTACTATAGAGATCTTTCACTTCTTTGGTTAAATTTATTCCTAAATATTTAATTTCTTTTTGTTTTTGTGACTACTGTGAATGAATTCCTTTCTTCGTTTCTGTTTCTGAGAGCCCCTTATTAGCATAAAGAAGCTACTAGGGTGGGTGGGTGTGTGTGTGTGTGTGTGTGTGTGTGTGTGTGTGTGTGTGTTGTAACCTGTAACTTCACTGACTTGGTCTATCAGCTCTCTGGTGGAGCGTTTAGGTTTTAGCATGCACAAGGTCATATCACATAAATATGGATCATTTGACTTCCTCTTTTCCAAATTTGATTCCATTTATTTCTTTCCCTTCCTTAATTGCTCTTGCTCAAACCTTCAATACTATATTGAAAAAGAGTGGCTAAAGTTAACATCCTTGTCTTATTCCAGATCTGTGGGGCCATGGTTTCTGGTTTTTTTCCTATTCAGTATGATATTGACTGTTGCTTTCTAATATATAGCCTTATGACTTAAAGGAACATTCCCTCCATATTTAGTGGAAGATTTTTTTAGCATGAGATGTTTGAATTCTATCAAATAATTTCTCTATTTGAGATGACCATATGATTTTTATTCTTAATTCTATTGATTTGATTTATGATGTCTACTGATTCACAGATATTAAATCATTCCTTCCATTTCTGGGAAAAATCCCACTTGGTCATGATTTATATTCATTTTTACGTGGTTTTGAAATTGACTCGCTAGCATCCTGTTAATCTTTGCATCTATGTCCATTAGGGATATAGGTCTGTAATCCTTTTTGTGTATGTCTTTGTCTTTGGTATCAAAGTAAGGTTGGTCTCATAAAAAGAATCCAACAGAATTCCCTCCTGTTCTCTCGGCACAGCTTTAAGAGTGTTGGTGGTATTTCCTCTTTTTAGTATTGTTTAGAATTCAGTAATATTATCTCTAAGGTATCAAACTTTTTTGATGGAAGGTTTGTCTTTTTGTACTCAGCATTAGTGATCCCCTGAATTTCTGTTTGAGTCCAAATGTTTGGAATATCAAAGGAAAAGTAGAATTCTATAAATTTTCATATAAAATATTTCTGAAAATTTATTTGTTCATATAGGAGATTACTTTTTAAAGCCAATTATCCTAGTAATTTAGGAAAATGTCTTGGAATGGGGCCAGCATTGTAGCACGATGTGTTAATCCACTGGCTCTGATGCAAGCCTCTCTCAAGAATGCCAGTTCAAGTCCCGGCTCCTCATCTTCCCATCCAGGTCCCCGCCAATGCACCTGGGAAAGCAGAGGAAGATGAACCAAGTCCTTGGACCCGTGCTCCCATGTGGGAGACTCAGATGAAGTTTTTGGTTTTTGGCTCTTGGCTTTGACCTAGCCTTATCCTGGCTGTTGTAGCCATGTGGGGAGTGAATCACTGGATGGAAAATATGTCCCCTGCTCTCTCAATCTGCAAGTCTGACTTTCTTACAAATAAGTTTTTGAAAAAGTGAAAATTTTTCAGAATGAAGCTAATCTTTCTAAAATCAGTAAGCTTCCATGTTTGATAACATGAATTTATAATGTCCCTAGTGGGAAAGACACCAATGACAAGAAAATATGTGTTCCCAAAACATAAGCATCCATCTATTCACAAATTATTTTATAAGCATGGATTGAGTCATATCAGTAAGTTCATGTCTTACATGAAGAATGAAAATATTTTAGCAGCTGAGCTGACAGTGTATGAAGAAAGATTTATTCCCCGATGACATCCTTATAACTTTTGACCTATAATTTACCTCTTTTTTTTTTTTTAAGTAGAGGTATTTATTTTACTTGAAAGTCATGGGCCCGGCATAGTGGCCTAGTGGCTAAAGTCTTCACCCTGAATGCACTGGGATCTCATTTGAGCACCAGTTGTCCCCCACTTCCCTTCCAGTTCCCTGCTTGCAGCCTGGGAAAGCAGTCAAGGACAGCCCAAAGCCTTGGGACCCTGCACCCATATGGGAGACCCGGAAGAGGCTCTGGCTCCTGGCTTTGGATTTACTCAGTTCTGGCCATTGCGGTCACTTGGGGAGTGAATTAATAGCTGGGAGATCTTCCTCTCTGCTTCTCCTCCTCTCGGTATATCTGACTTTGCAATGAAAATAATTTTTTTTTAATTTTAAAAATAAAAACTTAAAATAATCACAGAGAGGGTACTCTTTCATCAGCTGGACACTTCCCAGCATGCCAGCCAGCATGCCAGTCTGTGTGATTTCTCTCTGAAAAAGGGGATAGGCAGGGCAGGCAATGTGAAGTAACCAGTTCAGTCACCGCCTGCGAGGCAGGCTGTTCACAACCTGGCTGCTCCACTTCCAATCCAGCTCCCTACAGATGCCTTGGGAAGAACGGGAAAAGCAGCCCAACTCCTTGGGCTCTAGCACCCACATGGGAGACCTGCAAGCAGCTACTGGCTTCAGCCTGGCCCAGCCCTGGCTCTTGTGGCCATTTAAGGAGTGAATGGGCAGTTTTTAGGTAAAAAGCAATTATTTTTTTTTAGATTTATCTGCTTATTGTTGTTTTTTTTATTTGCAAGGCAGATCTTCAGAGAGGGAAGACAATGTTCGGTTATTGATAACCAAGATCTTGTCAGAAGCTTACTATCTACAGCTTCAGTGAAAAGCACGGTGGTTTTGTGTTTTTGCTTTTATTTATTTATTTGTTTGTTTATTTGGTTCTGAAAGGAATATTCCCTAGACTGGTGCCTCTCCCAATACTCAATGTCTTTATAAATACGGTAGCTTTTGCTGCACACATCTTAGACACAACACTAGTGTCAACACAGATTTACTTTCCCACCCTCTGTCTTCTCTCCCGCTATTTCCTTGCAACAATCTATATTCCCTTTCTTCAGTTCACTTGCTTTCTTCCTCAATATTCCTGCTATCCAGTTCTCTCTTTCTCTATTCACTCAAATTAAGGGAGAAAAATTAACTTGCCAGAAAAAAAACCCACAAACACAAATCCTATAGCTATCACTCCTTTGTTATGGACCAAATCACTACAGTGATGTGCAAACACAGTCCACCAGCAGAACAAGGGGAAGCGAAGCACAGGTTCACACGGTGGCCGAGGAGGCTGCAAGACAAGGCTTTGCTTCCCATACAGTCTAGTCTTTGACCACTGGATTTAGGTTTGCTTCTCCCCCTCTAACTTCATCTCATCTTCCCCTTTGTATTTTTCCCTCCTAAATTTGCTGTTCCTACTTGCCTGGCAGTTTCAAAGTCTCTCCCCTACTAATAGCTACACAGAGACCAAATCCATGAAAATTCTTGGCCCCATTTCCACCCTGAAAAGAAGGGAAAGAAAACCACTATTGGTAGTTCTTGATACCCCATAGGAGAAGGCTAACTTGCCTGAGTTTCTCCAAGTACAGACTTTATACCTTTCCCTTCCTGCTATTTTTTGTTTCTTTTTCTCTTATTTTTCCTTTCCCTTCCTAATATTGATGGCCTTTCATGACATGAGTTGGGCAAAGCTGAAAGATCACCTCCTAGCAGTCATGAAAAGGAGAAGCAAAGATGATGAACATTTTTCTATATGAGAAATTAGAGTTGCAAATTCTTGCTGAGTCTTGTTTTCATCTCTCCTTTTCAAGGAATCTATTCCAACTGCACTCATCTCTATCGTGCTTCATCAACATTCCCTCTCCAGTTAACCATTTCACTTCCCATTCCACACCCCTCTTCAGCTCCCGTCTCCTACTCTTCCTTCACAGGAACTCACTGTATTTACTCTCACAGTCTCCCACTTCCTTACTGTTTCTCCTTTTCTTCTCACTACACAACACTACAATTCCATTCTCCCTGCTACTATTTCAAATGTTCCAGTGACATGGGAACCATGCTGCATTCATTTTCAGACTAAAGATTTTACATCAGAGGGCTTCTAAGCAGGCATTCAAGCAATAGGGTACCCTAAGCTGAGGAGGACTCTACTCACTGCAAAAACACAATCACTAAGTAAAGTGAAGCAATAAAAACATGATTCAAGGTAAAAAAAGGAGCTTCCCCATGTGCCCATAATAAGAGAGAATGCTGCAAAGATAGCAACGAGTGTGTGAGTGAGCAGTGCAGGCACTCCAGACCACAATGCCCTCCGAATACCCATTATCTCCCATTGACTTTAGGCAAGCCTTTACATCCAGTATACTCCTTCAGCATTGCCTTTTGGAAGTCTAATGGGCATCTCAAAGTAGGAATTCCTCAAACTGAGTTCAGACCTTCCACTAAAACAACCTGTTCATGCCAGTTTTTTCCACCAGTAAGATGTGAGTTAATGCCATTCTTCCACTTGACCCATGGCAAGATGTTTGAGCATCACCAACCTGGCCTATGCTAGCACAGTCATCATACAAGTGGTTTCCATTTCTTGCTCCTGGTTCAAACTATTCTCACATCAGTAGGAAGGAGTCTAATAAGACACAAGAAATACGATTTATACCTCCTCTGCTCTTGATACTCCACCTACATCATATTTGATACACAGCAAAATTGTCATAATCTTTTCTGTGATCCTGAGGTCCTACCTCGTCACTCCCAGCCACCTCACTGACCTGTCTCTCCAGAATCCTCCTGTCCCACTTCATTCCATCTGTACCGGTTCCCTGCTCTTTCTTATACATAGCAAATAGATTCCTGTTCTGGGCAGGATTTTGGACTAATATTGGCTTACTGACACTCTCCCCTGAATATTTGCACTTGGAAAGATTTCGGCAAAAGCTGAAACTTCCCAAAGTGAAATATCCAGCCATTCTAGAAGGCTTAGGGGAATCCTTTGAGGAAGTCATCACAGTGCTTCTGATGGCACACTGTTGTATTAGAATGAAATATGAGATGGTATTAATGTAGTCATAATGTCAAAATTTTCCCTGATTTCCCTGGACTTTAGAACTATTCGCCTTTCCCAGTTCTCCTTTTCACATTATTCTTTAACTGTTGGAGATAATAACTTCTGCTTTTCCCTTTCATCTTGCCTTTAGAGAAGTCATACAATTTGCATAGTCTCAGGGTGGAGTTTTAATATGCAGAAGGTTTCAAAGATAAATATTGACTCCTCCATGTAACCGGTACTAGAGAGGTCAGGCCCTGGAAACCTCTCTTCCCTGCACAGGATCCTCAACCCATCGGCTTCTCCCAGAAGCTGCGCCTTTCGATTATGCCATGTGGCCGAGGATCTTGGCAGCTCTCCTCTCCTTCCTAGCAGGTACTTGCCTGGGACTGAAGGTGACGGTTCCATCTCACATTGTGCACGGCATCAAGGACCAGCCCCTCTACCTTCCTGTGCACTATGGTTTCCACATGCCAGCATCTGACATCCAGATCATATGGCTCTTTGAGAGACCCTCCACAATGCCCAAATACTTACTGGGCTCAGTGAATCAATCCGTGGTTCCTGATCTGGAGTACCGGCAAAAGTTCACCATGATGCCACCCAACGCATCTCTACTCATCAACCCACTGGAGTTCACTGATGAAGGCAATTACATCGTGAAGGTCAACATCCAGGGAAATGGAACTCTTTCTGCCAGCCAGAAGATACAAGTCACCGTTGATGGTGAGTCCACCCAACTGTACATGGGCAGTAGGCTGGCAGGGCAATCAGCAAGGGCTCCGCGGTGTGGGTGAGCCGAGCTATCTGGGCTGTAGGGCCCAGCGCTGCACTCTTGGGCTAATTAATTCACCCTCGTGGCTTCAACATTCATAGCACTTAGTGGCAATACCTACTGCAAGGGGCTTTCCAAGGATGAGTTATATTCATGTAAGCTGCATGCATGGAGCTAAGAGGAAGGGAATCAAGCAATAAAGTAGAACTAATCATTTGGGAATTCACAAGTTTAGGCAGCTGACTTAACGAGGTGGAGAAAGTCTTATTTTTCTCAATAGTCAAATCTGCTCTGGGTAGATTTTCTCTACTTTTGCTACATGACAATGCTAATCTTGATACACTGTGTGGGGGAGGGGCGGTTGGGTAGGTTGAGACTCCAGGACTGTAATGTAGGATAACAGAAGTTTCTGGAAATGTCCTCTAAGGGAAAATAGGCCCAACTGATTTTCAGAAACCTATGTTTTTTATTGAGGTGTATAAGTGGTGTATGTAAGTGGCAATGTTCTCCAGTTTAGCCAATACCAGTTCCATCCTATCAATTGCTTTGCCAAAACTTTGCCATCTTCATTGACTTTTTTTCTCCATCCACATCTAGTTTACAAGAAAATTCTGTCAGCTTTTCCTGCAAGATATCTAGTCCAGCTATGTCTCACCAACCCATTGCCACCACTAGGCAACATTTGGCTGGCTGCCTTCCTATGTTGTTGCTTCTATTGCTGCATCATGAAGCTTCAAATCCATTGCTTCTTTTTCACCCAGAATAAGTCAAAGCTCTAACACTGGCCTGCAAGACCCAGCACACTCGGAACTCTCTCACCCTGTATCCTATTTGTATACTCTTCACTCACTCTGTCATGGCCAGGCTGGTCTCCTGCTCGTTCTTAGCAGAGGAAAACCACACTCACGCCTCAGGACTTCTGTGTTTGATGCATTCATTCTACATGTCTTTCTTCCCAGATGCTAACGTGATGCCCTGTGCTTTATTTATGCCTCAGTCCAGAGGTGAATTTTTCTGTGAAGTCTTTCCTGACCACCCCATAGAAAATATGATCTCACTCCCCACACCCAGCACACACACACACACACACACACACGAAGCATCACTATCTGTTTCCATTTCTATTTCATTAATTTCAGTGCTGTTGTTAATACCTGGGCCTATTATAAGAAGGGTCTTCAAAAACCTTATGGAAATACCAATTACAGAAACACTAGGCATGGATCTTGGGACATTTGTGTACTGAAATAAACCTTTCTTTTAATGCTATTTCTCCAACTATTTTTCATAGTGCAGGCAGGTGTTTTGTTTATTAATTCTCTTTTCCAACTAGAATACATGATCTAAGGGAGCAGGCACTAGAAATGCTATGCTGCCTTGTCCGCAGGGCCTAAACCTTGGCAAACACAAGTAGACCTGGTCTTCCTCCGGGGACTCAGTGAGTGACAGAAGAAGAAATGGTCAATTGCAGGAAACAAATGTAGGTGGAAGCCGAGGCCTGGAGAGCACAAGAAGGGAGAGAGCTGCCTAAAGGACTTCACTTGAAATTTTTCTGGCATAAGGATAGAACATCCCTTGCTTCTTAAAACGTAGGAAGATCATGATTTAATAAAGCCATTCACATGCTTTTAGGGCCTGAGCAAAGATGTTTCTCAGAAGGGAAATCTACCCATCTGAGTCCCATCACTGTGGGAACAGGCATAACCACAAGAGCAATGACTATTCCTGATCCAGAGTCTTCTCACAAGTGACACGTCACTTATTCATTCTATTCCACATTTATTTGTACTCACAGGTTGAAAATATAAGCAGTTTCTGTGTAGTGAGTGTACATGACTTGCTTTTTTTTTTTTAAATGTAAGGTTATAAGCCAAATGTTATTACCAATCTTTTGCACCTAGGGAGGGAGGGAATTTAATAAAATGCACAAGTGGGCCAGCCAGCTGTCTAGGAGCAATGCTGGAAGGTTTCGGGATGGCTCAGTTCCCCTGAGAGTTGCCTTTGAATCTCCTTCCACCCTTTCGGTTCCCTCCAACTTGCCTAGGCTGGAGAATGAGTTCTGTTTATGTCCTAAAACACATTTACCAGCAAATGACCAGAGCTGATCCAATCTGAAGCCAGGAGCCAGGAGCCTCCTCTGGGTCTCCCATATGGGTACAGGATCTCAAGGCCCTGGGCCATCCTCCATTGATTTCCCAGGCAACAGGGATCTAGAAGGGAAGTGGAGCAGCTGGGACATGAACTGGCATGCATATGGAATTCCAGCACATGCAAGGCGAGGACTTTAGCCACTAGGTTACTGTGTCAGGACCTCCTGTTTCATTCTAAATGGCCACAATGGCCAAAGCTAGACCGGTCCAAAGTCAGGAGCAGAAGGTTCTCTTGGGTTTTACCCAAGGGTGCAGCAGTTCAAGCACTTGGGCCATCCTCTGCTGCTTTCTCAAATGCATTAGTAGGGAGCTGGATCTGAAGAGGTGCTGCCAGGTGTAAAACTGGTGCCCAAATGGGATGCAGGTGTCAGAAGCAGTGCCTTTACCCACTACACCACAATTCGGGCTCCATATTCTTGGAAATTGATCAATTTGACAAATATTAAGTGCCTAGTATATGCAATACTCATGAGACATAAAATTAATAAAATGTAAAAATAAAAAAACGATATAGTCTCCTTTTTTCCTCTTCACTCCCTACCACCCCCTTCCAGTTCTACCCTTGTGGAATAAAGAACCTCCTAAAGTAAAAATAAACCAAAAAAAACCCCATAAATTTGTAAACATAAATTTTTTTTCCATGACTTAGCATTCTAACATGAATATCCATTGGATTTCTTTTATATCTCTAATTCAGATGACCCAATCTCCAGAATGCATTTTATGACATCTCTCGAGAAGCCAGTGTTGAAATGCAAGCTTTGATTTGTTAAAAGGACTAACATAATGTCATAACACAAAAGCAAAGAAAAGAAAACATGTAAACAGTTGATTTTTTAGACTAGGCTATGGTGCTGGGCCTCATAGTTTCAGTTTTGTATCTAAGAAATTTTCATTTAACTTTACGTCACAAAAAGTTTCTTTTATTTTCACTGCTAAAAGTTTTAGTTACACATTCGAACATTACATAGATGTTTTGAGAATCAAAATGGCGGAAGAGTATAAGGACATGTTTAAACAGATGGAGAAACATTAGCCAGTGCGAAGCAGAGAGGGCACATTCCAGGAAATAAGAGAGGTTAGAATGACATCAAAGAGACACCTGGAGACTGACAGACACGGGAAAGCAGCGAAAACAGCAAGTTATTGCAGTGACCGATACCCCAGAGGCATTCAGCGAATAGCAATTTGAATTGCACTGGCAGCCAGAACTCCACCAGCAACAAGGTGGGAAGGGGCACCCACCAGGAATTCCGGAGCAGAACCCAGACAAAGAACTGTCCATCATGCTGGTCTGTTTGATTTGACCAAGAGCAGAAACAGAGCAGCAGGTCCCAGTCTGGTGGTGTAGGAACAGGGTGGATTTCACAGCCCAGTCTGCCCCCTAGAGCTGACTCAGGTGCCATTTTGTGTAGGGAGACAAAGACTAAGGGACAGGACTGGGCATGCACTGAGCTGGGAGTGAACTCATTTCTGGCTCAGTGAACTGAAACAATGTGTTATCTTACAGGTTCTACCCAAGATAGTTCTTGGTTCTGGTAAACAGTAAACAGGTTCTGGCAAAATCAGCACCAACAATAACCTAGCTATATACAACTTCTGGTGACTCCCTAATCCTGGAAACTGCTCAAACTGGAAGTAGGAGAAAGGTTGTATGGACAACAGTGCAGCTCAACACTGTATCACAGGAGGTGGAGAGTGCTGAGCAAGGAACTGGAGCTACAGAGACGATGGTGAAAGTCTAACATAAGAACCTAGACCTGGAACTCGCTGGAGGGAGTGGCACAAATGACTACAAACAAAGAACCATGTACCAGCCACAATAAGTAAAATGGAATTGTAGACCTGTGGGTGACAGAGCTTAGAAACCTGCCCCAAGGAGAAGATTCTGATAGCTAGAAGTATAATGACCAAGAGCAATAGAAGAGACAAAGGCACAATGAATATTTCTGAAGACTCCCCTGCAAAGAAGCAAAAGCCTTTGTCAATCTCAGAGTTAAATGAGGAAGACATCGAGAAAATGGGGGATACAGAATTCAAAACACTTGTTATAAAGCTTCTTATGAACAAGAAGAAGCACGCAGTACAGAAGTTCAAGGAACTTAAGGAATATCTCACACAGCAAGTGAATCAAATGAAAGCTGATATATCAGAAATTAGGAATACAGTGGAGCAAACTAAAAGTACAGTGGAGAATCTCCAAAATAGAATGAATGAAGCAGAAGAAAGAATCTTAGAATTGGAAGATATTTCTTGTCAGCAGGAAGCAGAGCTGGATTTTTGTGGCTTTTCATTTAAGGGGATGTATAGTAATTGTGTGATGGAGACTATCATATCCAGATGTGAGGATACAATACAGTATGCATCTCTACTTCCAAGTAAAAAATGGACTCCCAATGAAACTGTTTACTATATCCTGACAATAGGATTCTGGACTCTCTGCCATTGTCCAGACCTGCAATGATGGACATGTGACTGTTTATGAAGAACTATACTATAGTAATAACACAAGGGAACTCAGTGGGGAGGAAAGGAAATGGGGGAGAAAGTAAGGGAAATCCCACGATCTATGGAACTATATCATAAAATGATAATAATAGTTTTAAGGAAGGGAAAAAAACAGTTGGCTCACACAAAAAAATGACAAGGAAGTAGTTTACAAGTTTCTCTAAGTACTCTACAAGTACTCCGTAAATGTTTTCAATTTTTCACAGATAGCAAGTGAGAATTGGGGGTTCCCCATTCATTCACCCAAGCTGGTACTCTCAGGACATTAGAGTAAATCAAGAGAAAGAAGATAAGTCTTGTCTTTGAGGGTTATCATGTACCCTCACAGTGTTGCAAAACACACAGTGAACAAGGAACATGGAAGCTGCTGTCCTCTACTGCTCGTTACGTTAGCTACCAGGGACAGGGCTGCACGGGACAACCTTGGTAGAGCAGCTTCTAGAATTTTATTTTCTCTAACTACTAATGATATTTTATGTTTTGTCATTTAGCATTTCCCTGGCGTTTACTCTCTCTTCTAATTATTGCCTTGGCTATCTACATTTGCAATATGTAAAATGCCTGCCATTTTAACCTTTGAGAAAACCTCATAGAATTTTATTATCCTCCTGAGGATGGAGAAAAACATCATCTGTCCCCCTCTTGATGTTGCAGAGCCCATCACCAAGCCAGTGGTGCAGATTCGTCCTTCCTCTGGGGCTGTGGAATATGTGGACAATATGACCATGACATGCCAGGTGAAAGCAGGCACCCGCCTGCTTTACCATTGGCTAAAAAATGGGAAGCCTTTGCGCCGCAGCCCCGCCTACTCCTTCTCTCCCCAAAACAACACCTTTCAAATTGCTCCAGTGACCAAGGAAGATGCGGGGAATTACACCTGCCTGGTGAAGAATCCCGTCAGTGAAATGGAAAGTGACATCATTGCACCCACCATATACTGTAAGTTCTTTTTTCTGATGAGTTCTCCTCCCAAGGGCAGCCACAGAGGACACAGGCATGGGACATCGCTCGGGTACTGCAGCTCAAGGCTAGTTGTCATCACACCTCTCAGGCACTGTCTTGTCATAAAAGGCTAAAAGGCATTTACCAGTAAGCCCTGTGTCTTGCTGGTCAAGTTGAGATCATGACCCAGAGCCACTGAAGATACAACTTGTGATTCAGCCCACTGAGTAGCCTCACTTCCTACCTCAAGTAGGAAATCTCAATTTCTCAAACTGAGAACCATGCAGAAGTAGTGACTTACTTATGCCCAAGGAGCCAGATCCGATGATAGTAAACCAGGGACGAAATGTGCTCTGTGGCTGACCCACCAAGGAAAACCAACGTTTTCTGAATTAGGCATGGGGAGTATTGTCAGGGATATAGTTGTTCTCTTTGAGCATTTCCTCAGTATCCATTTAAGAAATTGTTTTCTATATTGTTAATTCACAGGATTGTCCATATTGATGGCATAGAGTGACAGTTCAGTGTGTGTATATATTTGTAATGATCAACTCGGGATCATCCATCATCTAATATGCTGATCATTTCCTCTAACACTTTTGATTTGCATGATACAATAATATTAGTGGATGATCACCCTTCCGTGTAACTGTGTGTCAGAACTCACCCTTCCTGTTTGGCTGTCGGGAGCGGGGGGAACAGTCAGAGGAAACTTCATTCCTCTCCTGGAAGACATTCAGGGCCCCAGGGAGTCAGGGGTGATTTCTGGAGTTTGAATTTCTTTGGCATGTTTTTCTGCTATTGTTGAACCTTGTGTATGGTTATGGTGAATAAACCCTTCAGTTCATGTTCTATAATCATCATCACCCACCCAGTAAAGGGCCCGCTGTCTTCATTGCATTCTTGTTCCCAACCCTCTGTATTCCACAGAATCACCTCTGTTTAACATCACATTCTAAGTTCAGCTTAGCAAGTCTCTGCTATACTGGTGACATTCAGTGTTGAATAATTCTTTGCTGGGGCCTTGTTTGTTCAGCATAACATATTTAACAAGATCCTTGGCCTCTCCCCGTTATCTGCCAGCAGCATAACCTTCCTTGAACAATTAGAAGCAACCGTGGACATTGTCATGTATTCCCTCTGAAATCTATCAGTTGGGAGAACCAAAGGTTAGCATACTGGAAAGGTCTACCTGTTACTATACTGCTTACAGCACAGCTACTCTAGCAGTTTTGAAAAAAAAAAAAGTGTGAAAAAGTAAGTCTTCTCATCCCTGTGATGTGAGGATGGAGGATTCAACTGATTGAATCATGAAGAGAGAATGAAATCTGGTCCATGTAATCACTCACTCATCAAGTGAATCTTCATAACGCTAATAGAGGCACAAAGCCATAGCATTTCAGCTGTTTAGAAGCTAGAGATCAAAATGTTTGGTCATTTCCCCTGTAACTTCAGTCAAATCCCTTAATCTCGGGGCCAGTGCCATGGCTCAATTGGCTAATCCTCCACCTACATGCATTGGGATCCCATATGGGTGCTGGTTTTTGTCCTGGTTGCTCTACTTTTCCACTCAGCTCCCTGCTTATGGCCTAGAAAAGAAACAGGGGATGGTCCAAAGCCTTGGGGCCCTGTCCCCTCATGAGAACCCCCATAAGAGCTGTGTTATACTTCCTTCAATAGAAAACTGATGGAATGCTCTCCAGGAAAGGCGATAGCAAGCCTTTGGAGCAAATAAGTACCAGGAACTATACAAATACTATACAAGTCTTTTCTGAGAGCATAAACTTTCCAGAAGAAACCGAGCATCCGCAACGGAGCAAGAAAAGGAATATTTGGAAGATGAGGGCTGGGGGAGACAGAGAGGCTTTCTCCCAGCTGCAGGGCTAACCTAGAAAAGCACAACCATTACATCCTGAGAGTGGCTACTTTGTTGTATTTTAGTAGAAGACAGAAAATACAATGTATGACACACAGTGTCAACTGTGCTCAGAGAATATACAAAGAAGCATAATGAGGAGTCTCAGTTCAAGTCTTGGCTGCTCCGTTTCATATCCAGTTCCCTGCTATCTTGCCTGGAAAAGCAGAGGAAAACGACCAAAGTGTTTGGTGGTCTGCACCCAGATGCAGTTTCAGACCCCTGATTTCGACCTGGCCCTGGTCCAACCATTTGCGAGGCCATCCGGGGAGTGAACCAGCAGATGGAAGATCTCTCTTTCTCTCCATCTCACTGTAACTGTGCCTTTCAAATATTCAAAACAAAACAACCACAACAAAAAACAACAACAGCAGCATGGTGGTTAGGACAAAAAGTCTGGGGTGAGGAGGTTTAGGATCATATCCTGGCTCTGTTACCTTGGCTCTCTCTGCCTCGTCTCATAAACACACGTATGTGACATTAACCTACTTCAGGGACCTATTGTACAGACTAAATCTGTAGAGTGTTTACAGCAATAACTGGACCAGAGGACTCCATTCACTGAAAACTTAGCATACAGCAAATAAATGAGTGTATGAACAGTTTCTACGAAGTTCACAGAAAATGCATACTATTAAAAATATATATTGATTATAATTTTTGAAGAAAACATATTTTAATTCCATTTTCATTAATTTTTCTGACATCATCTCATGTCTGATTTGTTACAATGAGTTAAATCTTAGGCATAGCTTTCCATAATGTTATATTCAGATAACATTGTAGAAAATATAAAAATGGGAGCAAAGATTCATAATTACATCTATATATGTCAAGGAATATGCTGTTTGTATCATGTATCCTTTCCTGTGCTACTTGAAAGAATTAGAAGACCCAAGTTGAACAAGTTGACATTTCCCAGAGCTTATCTTCCGCTTGCAGACTGAACTCTTCTTTACGTTCTTCTGGACATAGCCTTTGAAATCACACAAGCATCCCTCACTAGTAAACACTGACAGAGAGAAGGAAGAAGAAAATTTACCAATGTGATTCCTGTTTACACACTGTAAACATGAATTATGCACATGATTTAGGAAACACTGCTGACCCTTATTGGCTAAAAATTGTTATCACTGTCATTAATTTTTCCTTGATCATTTCTACATTCTAATGCAGAAACTTTCACTTGGCCATAACCTCATCTTAGTGGCTGTTCACTCACTTATTCAGTTATCCACTCACTCATGTTTAATTTTATTAAAAACACCAACCATCAATGTCCTGTTCATGCTATGCACTGCCTGCTCACCCCAGACTCATGAATAGTTTTTTGTTATTGCTGTTTGCTCTCACTATTTCAGCTTGCTTTAATGTCTTGGGCGGCTTTTTTGGCTTGTTTTTTTTTTTTTTTTTTTGATCTTGAGTAGTAAGGATTAAATAAAATATACATTTTGAAGATTTGTCATTTACCCTACAGTTGACTTTGCATCTATGTGATACATTTTTGTTGTCTTCATTCTATGAAAACTGGGAATACTTGCCTTGCTGAATTTTACTCCCACCTCTCTTTGTTCTCGCAGTTGCTTTCTTCTTCATTCACACCGTCATCTTCTCCCAAAGCGTCACCTGCTGGATTCTGGTCTCTCCGTGCAGTTGTGCTCCTCTAGTGTCCCATGCATGTCTCTTCCCTGGTGTTTATTGCATTATCTTTTACTCGATTCTTCTCCACTTAAAGGACTTATGAATTCTTATGTTCATTGGGCAATATTCAACACAGCTTAAGAACACAACAAAGTTCCTTGAACTTGACTAAAATGGGACACATTTTCTTTCTTCATATCTCTTTAAGATTCCAATGTTACTTAATGTCATGGAAAAGTCAAATTCCCATTACAAGATGACAATTTCTTCATGGCAGTATTTCAGCCCCTTACTTTGTTTTCTGATCTGCTACAAAGTTTCTTGATAATGTAGGACATGTCAGATCACAATATGTATTTCTTAGAGAGATCCATAATAATTTAGAATTTCACCATGAATCACCTATTCTATTTCTAAAAGTACTATTTCCAAGATGTTTTCTTCACAAGTGCAAAAATAATTTTCTATAAAGATTTTATTTTATCTACTAAAACAGTTTATGGGGGAAGGGACAAAAAGAAAGACCTTCCACCCACTGCTTTACTCCTCAAATGAGTAGGGGAGTGGACACAAAGGTCCAGGATTAGGCCAGACCAAAACCAGGAGACAGAAGTTTGTTCCAGGTTTCCCACATGAGTGCAACAGCCCAAGCAGTTGGGTCATCCTCTGCTGCTTTCCCAGACACATTAGCAGGGAGGTGGATTAGAAATGGAGCAGCCAGGACTCAAACAGGCACCCATACGGGATGCCCACATCACTTGCTACACCACAATGCCAGCTCCAAGGAATTACTTTTTATTAGGGCAGTAAAAAACTATAACACAATCTGTCAAGATTGGTCCTATATTTAGGAGGTTATGACGCCATAGTTTGGTGGCAGACGTTACGAAGTCAATAATTCAGACAAGGCACTTTTTAACCTCCAGCCATGGACAATAACCCAGTTAGATTTTGTGTGCAACAGATGGCATTGCTGCAGGGAAGTTCTCTTAGTGACATAAAGAAAAAAAAGCGTCATTTATAGTAAACACCTACCATCTGCTCCCAAGTGCAATGGCAAGCAGCTTCATAACGGAAATTAAGGTACTGTCCCCACCCAGCCGTAAATTGCAGAGAACAGATGATAGATGAGTTTACAAGTCGCTTAGTAAACAGCCCTTCTTGAGGCAATGGGCTCGTTTACGTTGGAGTCTCTGCCAAAGGCAAGGAAGTAAACCCTCACTCACATTCAGGATTGAATGATCCTTCTGCTTTCATCTTAGGTACCAGAGGCAACTCTGGTTGGATTACTCTTACTTGACTCTGGCAAGTCTGCCTGGCTTTGCCCTCAGAGTTCAGTGTCAGTACGTGACTCAGGTCTCCAGCTCTTCCAAACCACTCAGTTCCTCCCACTGGGCTCCTCCTTGTGAGGAGGACATGAACTAGTGCACATGTGGGATGCCAGTGTTTGCAGTTGGAGTAATAGCCAACTATCACATCAGCCCCTACTACCAACCTTTTAAAGAATTAATCCAAATTCTTCTCAAACTAATCAAAGCAATTAAAAAAGAGATAAGCCTCTCAAACTCCTCCTATGAGGCATTTCATAACCTTAAATCCAAAACCAAAAAGAGATACATCAAAGAAAGGCAACTATTGGCCAATATGATATATATGGCTGCAAAAATCCTCAACAAAATACCAGGTAATCAAATCCAACAACACATCAGATAGATCATTCAACAGGATCATGTGGAATTTATCCCTGCTATGCAGGGATGGTTCGCATTGATTATCTCAATAAATGCAGAGAAAACAGATGATAAAATACAACTTCCTTACATAATAAAAACCTTAAACAAAGTGCATTATAGAGAAAACATGCCACAACATAATCAAGGCAAGAGATTAAAAAAATCCATAGCCAGCATCATATTGAATGGGAAAAAACTGGAAGCACTTCTACTAAGATCCCAAACCAGTCTAGGAAGCCCACTCTCACTGTTACTATTCAATGTCATTCTGGAAGTTTTAGCCAGAGCCCTTAGGTAAGAAAAAGAAATCAAAGGGACCCAATGGGAAAGGAAGAAGTCAAATTATCCGTTTTGCAGATAATAGGGTCCTATACATTGAAGAACCAAAACACTCCAAGTTACAGACTATAAAATCAGTACACAAAAATCAATTTGTATACAACAAATAATGGCTGAAAATTAACCTAACTCACAACAGCTCCAAAAGCTTTTAAGTGCCTTGGGATCAATTTAATCAAGGTTGTAAAAGATCACTACAATAAAAATGACAGGACAGGCTCCAGCACTTATGGCCATTTGGGGAGTGAACCAGTGGAAGGAGGCTCTTTTAGCTCTGTCTGTCCTTTTCTTCATAAATTCCGATCTAATAAAAATAAACGAATCTTTTTTAAAAAAATAAAAGAAACAGAATCAGACACCAATACATGAAAAAATGCTTCTATGGTCATGGATTGAAGATTTGATATCGTCAAATGGCTGTACTATTCAAAGCAATTTACGAATTCAATATGACACCAATCGAAATACCAAAGGCATTCTTCTCAGATCTGGAAAAAAAATCCATATGGAATCACAGGAGCCTCGAGTAGCTAAAGCAATTCTAAGGAGAAAAAAATGAAGCTGGAGGTGTCATAACACGTGCTATGAAGGCATCCTGCCGAGCGATGTAATCAAGATTGCTAAACTCTCCAAGTGGGATTCAGCTTAGTGGCTATAATGCCCTTATCCTACATCAGGATGCCTGGGTTCCAGTTCCAACTCCAGTTCCGGACTCCAGCATCCCTCTGCATGGATCCTGGAATACAGCAGCTGATGGTTCCAGTCACCGTATGGGAGGCTTGGATTGAATTCCTGGCTCAATGCAGCCCTAACCATTTGGAGATTTTAAATAAACAGCTATCAACTTTCCCTCTTTCTGTCTCTCTTCCTCCCCTCACACCCCCGCCGTACCCCTTTCTCTTTGCTTCCTTTCTAACCTATCACCCTCTTAAACAAATCAAAATGTAATTAAAAACCTAAATAGCATATTAAAATATGCAACACTCTATGTCTACTTGTACAAATCTGTGTTCTTGATAAACTGCCTTATAAAAGGCGTAATCCATGCTAACACTAAAAAGAAAAATGAGTAGTATTCAAATTATGGTTGTCAAAGAGAAAATTGTAGACATAATCTGTGGTAAAAATATTTTCAGATGAATTTGCTGTTTTAGAAATACTGAATTTATCTAGCAATATTGCAGTTATCATTACTCGAAAAAGTTTAGCCTTACAATCATGATAAGAGTCTTTGTAAACTCACATATCGTGTTTTTCACTATTTCATAGTTTCAGTCACTATGTCAAGTAGTTTACATTTTTGTGGTTATCAGAATAAAACATATTACAGGTCGCCCTCACTCTGAGGGAGTCTAAATGAGGGCCCATGGCTAATATGAAGGCTCTCACAGAAATTCAGATGCTATTAAGCTTTACCCAAATTTTAACAAAACTGCACTGTAGGTATCACGTTACTCTTTTCATTGCTGCAGATGGACCCTATGGACTTCAGGTTAATTCTGATAAAGGGCTAAAAGTAGGAGAAGTGTTCACTGTTGACCTCGGAGAGGCCATCCTCTTTGACTGTTCTGCGGATTCCTACCCGCCCAACACCTACTCCTGGATCGGGATGACTGACAACACAACCTATTTCATTAAGCATGGGCCTCGCCTAGAAGTTGCACCTGAGAAAGTAGCCCAGATGACAGCGGACTACGCTTGCTGTGCTTACAACAACGTAACTGGAAGGCAAGATGAAACTCACTTCACAGTTATCATCACTTCCATGGGTAAGTGTGACAGGAAAGGAAATATTCCCAAAGAAGACGCAGCTGCCTGTGGCCTTAGCTTTCCCCACCTTACACCCAGGAGGAAGAGAATGTCACTGTGGAATTTTTCTCCTTCCCAAGTTAGCAATGTCATAGTCTCTATGACTCAAACAAACAAAACACAGAATTCCCTAAGACATTCACTCTCAGGCTGTAAGGGGTTATAGGGAAAAGGAGACTAAACAAATGACTTGTAAGTGGGTGCTCCTGTCCTGATTTTACAAATGGCAATATGCGAGAAGTGGCTGTTCCCTTAGAGGGCTTACATCTGCTGTTGTCCTCGGTCATAGGAATGCATCTCAGTGAGTGAGAAATCTATTTGCATTTGCAAAATCACCTATGAGTATTAGAATTCATATAGTGTCATTGGAAGGGTTTCTTTTTTTCCTAAAAGAAGATAGTACACTCTGTGACAATGCTATCCAACAGGGCTTTCTGCAAGAAAAACAAAAAAAAATGTGAATATCCACATATCCACACTGTTTAGCACAGTAATCTGTAACCTCGCTTGTTTTTGAGTACATACATATGGCTATGCAAATGAATAATTGAACTTTGAATCTTATTTCATCTTCATTAATTTTAATTTAAATGTAAATGACACCAAGACCCAGTGGTTGCCATATTGGACAAAGTAAATGATGTTTTACCTGATTTATACTTCATTTGGATAACGGATGATAATACATTTACCTTAGAGACATTGTGCATTGTAAGTGTATGTTTGGGGTTATATAAATCAGGCATACATTCCGTCCATGCTTAACAAAAACTAAGGGTCAAAATGGCACTGAGAATGCCAATTGGAAAAATAATTCTTGCTAACAATAATTTCTACTCGCTGTCTAACCTGAGTGCAAGCGTGGAACAGCACATGCCCATCATCTGCTTAGTTTTTGACTAGACAGGCTTCAGTGAATTCTTACCCAATAGCTAACCCAAGAGTCATTGCTAGTGCGAGCCATAATCAGGATGAAGCAGTCAGTGATGATCTGGATGCCACCCGAAGCTTCATCGTGCTTACTGCAAGCAACGACCCAGCTGTAATATGTGCAAGAGCATCATGGTTAAGTGCACAGTTGCACAACGTTCCCCATTAAGGTTTAACCAAGATACTTCCACCATATCAGACGTGGCTAATATTTGGTTAAGGTCTTATTACCTTAACCATTGTCTTATCTGACAATCCTAATGTCAGATAATTTGCTTTTACAAAATCTAAAAAACCTGTTTGACCTGTACAAAGAATAGGCATTTGTCATGACAGTAAATAAGAAGAGCAGGTGCTCATTTTGCAGAGGGATTCAGTGTTGCCAACATTGGTGACCCCTTTGTGGTTTTAGAGCTACTCTCCAAACCCTAAACAATCACAGAACTCACACATTTAAACAGTGGAAAAACTGGCAAAGAAAAATGACTAGCACTGATGCCTTTTGTTAGATATTTAATTTTTTTTTCCAGTTTCCAAAATGAATGGACCTCAGCAATGACATCATCTACAGTGCTAAATGACCACGTGCAGTTACCAACTGGGAATTTCTTGAACATCCACTCTGATGAATAAGCTAGGTGCAGATTTATGTGGAAAGCGAAAATGCTTAGGAAGAGCAGGTAGACAAGTTTCCAGAGCGCATTCTGGGGTAATCAAGTTCAGTGGCAGGAAACAGATAATGAGGGACTTTGGTTTTAATAAGGGGAAAAAATTGCAGCCTACCAAAATATCTCAGCAACAAAATATGGATGGACAAAGAAAAGGGACCAAAGATGACGCCAAGGTCACAAATACAGAAAGAGAATGAGAACAGAAAATGAGTGGGTTGCTGGGTACTTTCGGTGTTGGAGAAAAAGCCTTGAGAAGGTGAGAGTCAGCTCTGTGGTTTTTCTACTTGTGTGAGACTGAAACAGGCACCTGCTACCCCTGTAGCTGTGGTTCCTATCTGATTTGAGGCATTAATTGACCTTTCTGGATCTCAGTGGAGCTGTTCTGTAGAAAATAGGGACAACCAACAAAACCACTCAGTGATAACATAATGTCTGAATTCAAAGCCCTTCTTTTTAACCACTATCCAGCCTGCCTTGCTGTAACTGCCGCCATAGGTTGGACTATGTTCTTTCTATAGAATATGCAGGGCTACACACACACACACACACACACACACACACACACACACACACACAAACACAGTGTATTTTCTCACCACCCTCGCTAGTTTAATGTTGTATACATCTGGATACTCTAGTTTGTCCATGACCCATGTGTAATTTTATTTTAATTATGAAATACTTCTAACTTGAAAAATGTCTGGATGTTTCAAGATAATGATAATAAAATAAATTAGTATTCGTATATTAAAGACAAGGACCTAACTGCTCTGTTTAAGAATTCCTTGAATACAGATGTCCCTGCTTTGAATGAACTGAATCTTAATCACTACTGTGTCATCTAGTGCTTTTTCTAAGAAAATGTTTATGGAAGTATAATTATCTGGTCAGAATTAATTCAAGTGTTCACATTTACAGAGAGCATTCAAGCTTATAAATAGTTAAGTTTCTCTAAACCACGTGGCCATAGTTTGAGATGTAACTATAATAGAAATAGTGTTTTAGATGATCCTGAGAAGTCTTCCATTTTTATATTTACCTATATACCACATCTCTTCATAAAGACGAGAACAAAGACTCAAAGCAGGAAAATTCAGGAGCTTCTTTATCTAGAACTTTCTCAAGCCAAGATCTCTAGGAGATGTATTTCATTTTGGCCTGCTGGAGATGATGATGGACATTGATTGGTCACTGTGTGGGTAGCCCCCGAGACCTCAGATGATATCCCACGGGGCATCCAGTGTCACTGTGCTGTGGACGGAGCCACGGTGGGGAGAGGGAGCAGCACACGCCTCGACACAGCATTGCACCTTGGGATGCGAATCAGTTGCTAGCGTCAGTGGGCAGCCTGGATAAGAATGAACTCAGGACTCCATTTTAATGTGGAAATAGACACACTGGCTGGTGGCATATGGCTTTCCATTTCAGATGCAGACTCTCCAACTGCAGGACTGCACTGCCATGGACACCACACCCCTTGCTCATATTTGCACATAAGATGTTATCCCATTTTATTTGTTTGCAGAAGGAGGGGGTAAATAGCATTTGCACTCAGGCTTTGGTACATGAGTCAATCATGTTTAAATAATCAGAAGAATAGCATGCCATGTGCTGCTGAAGAGGAGGGTCCTCTCAGAAAGGAGACGGAAGGGAGCCCAGGCGAGTGTCCACGCTGGCACTAAGAACCTTACACATGCTCTGTGGACAGTGGGCCATAATTTCCTTGCCATCTAGGCTTCTCGTTGGAGCTCTAGAAACTGATCTGTGCAAACTGCACTTTGCTGGAGCTGACCCCACGGCCACTTGTACCCTTGGTTTTGATACATGACCCACGTGGAGCTCTGCTTTGTGAGGGGACAGTCTCAGACGCCGGAGCTGGCAAATGTCACGAAGCCTGAAATAGAGAAGTGGAGGTTGTTGGGTGCTGAACAGGAGACTTTCAAGAGGGACCCTGACAGGAGTGAGTGTTGCTCTGGGAAAACAACCCCTCATTCTGCAGGAGGAGGAGGCTTGACCTTGGCCATGGCCAAGGTTTTGGACTGTCAAGTTCTGATTCCTAGGGGTGGATCTCTGATGTAGGGCAAGGTGAGCCGAGGAGGGGAAGCAGGAGGGCAATAAGAAAATCAGGATGGTGAGGGGAGGAACAGGAATCCCCTATTGGGAGAACATGCACACTAGGTTTTGTTAGTAAATGCACGTGATAAGGGACAGTCAGTCTAAAACGAAGGCATTGAGAGGGAGATGTGTCATATTTAATAGGAGACAGATAATCACAGTGCATTGGTCAGACTTGAGAATCACACCCGTGTGTCTGAGGGAAACGTGATCGTTGAGTAAGAGGAATACTAGTGGACAGCACACACAAAAGGACAGGAATGAAGTGATCTCCGTGGGCTAGGACTGCTGGGTTTAGCTCCTGTTTATACTGCAGAAAAATGTGCTCCTGCGGTCTTTGGACTCTCTGCTTGTTGAATATTATGATTGTGGGCAAATGAAGCCCTTGAATATGGATTGGATTAAATTATGGCTGCGAATACTGAAGAGAGGGAAGGCAGGGAGGAGATTTGGGAGGAAGTAGGGCTGCCAGCAAAGTGTGATTGCCTTAGAATCCATAAAATCTGTTCTCTTTATATTAAAGTTTCTAAAGAAAAATAAGTATACTGGGATGATCATTGTTGGCACGCGTCCAAGCTAAAAGCAAAGAAGAACAGCTGTGGCTACGGTCGTGGCTTTGCCCAGGGCAAAACACTGCAGGAAACTGAATGCAATAAATTAGCACTCACTTCTCCTCCTTCCCATTTTTTTTCTGAAGGGCCAAGAATTACTGAGTTTTGGTGAGGCTGTCTGGCTATCAGAGATGAAAGAAGCATTGGAGCACATGGTGTTTGCTGTTGGAGAAGCTTAGAGGTGCCTTTCTGCCGATCGATTAAAAGGAAAAGCGCCTGAGCCACATCAGATAAAGGCTCTATTCCAGTCTCCCATCTGGAGCTGGGACAAATATTTTAGGCTCTTGAACTTGCTTTTTGTATTTTCAGATGCTGCTGTGTTATTAGAATTAGGCATGCCAAGTAAACAGGAAACAATGTGCATTTCATTATATACATATATAATGCTCAAATATTTTATTGCACATTATGTGAAAATTCTTAGTGCATTTTAATTTTAACTTCAGATTAAAATGAAGAAATAATTCACTAAGTTGTTCCTGAATTGTAACTCTCATCATCCTGATATTCACTATTTTCTTCACATTTTTTCCACTATTTATTCCTGACCAGTTTGTTACTATTTAATGCTTATCTACTTTTCTTCTTTGGTTGCTTTTCAAAATCATTTTGCTGCCTCAAGGAGAGTCCTAGTTGTCTTTACCTTAATTGACAACCACAGCACAGCATGAATTTATGCTTTAGGAGTTAAATTACGTAAGTTTGATATTCTCCCAAAATCACTTATCTAGGATGAGCGACCATGGAAAGAACAGGTTGAAAACACAAAGTGATTCAGGGCTGTTGAATCTGAGAGAATATGACAGTTTCAGCAAATAACTGAGATGGCATCATAAAGAGAACAGATTTATTCATTTAAGCTCAATTGTTAGAAATTGGTAGACTCAACATTTGGGGAGATTTTCTGTTTTTGTTTCAATGGCTATAGGACAAGTGGAAAGAGCACAGGATTGTAGCCAGACATCAATGAGTCCTGGAACCTTCACCTTCCCGTCTGTGAAAAGAAGCTTATTCTCGCATTTTAGAAGCAAGTGGAAGTAACAATTGGTGAAAGTGCTAATTCTGATTAGATTTTTTAAATCTCTGAAACCTCGGAGACAAATAAGAAGGTAAAACTAACAAGCAAATAAAGAGGAATCTGGAACCAAATGAAAACCCGACTAGTCCAAAATAAGAGAGGAAAATGAATCAAGATGTAAGAAATTAAAAAAAAAGATTATAAATTAAATTTAAAAATATGTTAGCAGAAGGAAAGTCAGTCTGAAGATAGGATAGTGACTTCCAGAGCTTAGAAGGTGCTTGGAGCATCGCTGCCTCAGCACCATCAGGGGATGGAGCCCCTGAGCCACAGCACGGGGTAGCTGTTCATTCTCATTGCGAGTCTCAGCAACAAGCAGAGGGAAGCTCGGGCCTCCTAATACAGCCATGACAAGCCAGGAAAAGGCCAATTGCCCACTGATATCAGTATGCTTTCACACATCGTTGAACTACTGCACCGTATCCCATAAACATGTACAAGGATTACGTGTTAATCCAAAAACTGTTCATCCTTGAGATGAAGCTGTTACCCCCTTCATTTGATCATTACAATTGGATTCATGTATCAAAGTGTCACTGGGCCCAGTAAATACATATAATTAAACTAATAATAGTAATAATAGTAATAACAAATAAAAGAAAGTAGCAGTGCAAGAAAAAAACCCCAAAAATTCTAGTAATTATGCTGAGTATTAGAGGACTAAATATTCCAGCTTTAAAGCAACACTGTTACACTGCACTGAAAAATACTATCTGCTACTTTTAAGATACACACCCTTTATGTAAATACACTAAAGGGTTGAAAGAAAGTAACAAATAAGCTTTACAGATAGTCAAAAGGAAGCTAGTACAGCTATACTAAGATCAGATAAGTTATTAAAGAATCGAGTATTTTTAAGACAAGAAGCATCACTTCAGATAAAAGTAGATAAGCCATTAGTTGTCTGTCTAGTCACAATATGTAAAAATGTTAAATATGCCTGCATCTAATAATATAGCCTCAGACAACCTAATAACTGATCAGAACATGTGAGAAATTATAGGAAAAAAACTTTCACAAAGTGGGAATTCTAACTTACTCTGTTGCTGATAGATCAATCACACAGAGCTTAGTGGCAATAAAGAAAAATAACACGATCAAATGGATGGCATTTAAAATACTTACACACAGCTACAGAATCCACTTTCTCTTCCCGTATATGGTCATTTAAAAAAAAAATCAACAATTTCAAAGGATTACTCCAGCCAGAGTAAGATTAAATAGCAATGACAAGACAGTAATAGAAAGAAATCTAGAAAGTTCCCAAACATAAGGAAATCAACATACTTCTAAATAAACCCATCCATCAAATAAGAAATCTCAATGACAACTAAGAAAATGTTTTGAAATTAATAATAACGAAAGTATGTCTCTACCAAACTCTGAGAATGCTGCATTCTATAATTACAGTATCTACATGTCAGAAAGTGATAGGGAAATTGTTGGTGGTCCATGCGTATGAATGTGATGTGGAAAGAATATTAACAAGAAATGATAATGCAGATTACACACATGCCAAAGTGGTTGCAAACTAAAACCAATCACTCTCTAACTGTGGGAAAATATGAGTTATTCTACAATTAAATAACAAAGGGAAAAGAAGGGAAAATGACCTTTCCAGCAAGTTTTACAATGTTCTAGTCTAGATCTAAACTAATGACTAACATAGCGATTACTACACAACTGTTTACTCTGGAGGACTCAGGGGGATACGTGGGGAAACAAAAGAGACAGTATGCTTTCCAGACTTGTTTCCTAGAATTATTTCCTAGAATTTGGCATATGCGATCAATACAATATTCTGTAGAGCTTCTGTAAGATTCAGCAGTGGACGTGTTCTAGCTGGAAACGCCTCTGGAGTGCATCTAGGTATATCCTGAGAGAAGCAAGAGACTAAGGGCCTCCTGCTTTCCTAAGCTGCTGAATGTCTCAACACAGTCACGATGGCAAATGAAGACAGCATGCAGGCTGGACGTGTCCTGCATAGTCAAGTGGCCAGTACACTGCCAGCTCACCTGGAGTCTCCAGGCCATTTGCCAGCACTGTTGAACAGAGATGACATCACGTGACTTTCACTCCCACGCCAATATTGTACTCATGGGAGACCCTGGAGTGTAGATTAAGTCCATGACTGAACATCCTGTAGTCTGGAGCAGGTCGTAACATACTTGTATTTAGCAAGTGTTGTTAAAATAGCACTAAAATCTTCAGAGAGCCTGGGGTCAGCAGCAGACTCTACCGCTCGTCATTGAGTAACCTGGATGGAGCCAGGGCCTCCTCATCTGGAGGATGAGATGACAAAGATGTTCCTAATTCAAGTGCTGTGAGGACTCAGTGGGCAGCATGCATCCAGCAGCCTACACCAAAACCCAACACGTCGTAAGCACTCAGCAGATACCAGCTCAAAGCTCTGTATTGTGGATAATGATATTAACTAAGGGAATGGCTTTCAAAACAAAGTGAATTTTAGCCAAAAAGCATAACTGTAAATACATATTGGAAAGCCTTACACTCATCCTATCTTAGGGATTATCATTGCTTCAATTAACAAAACCAACTATGACGTAAAAGAGTATAGAGAGATTCCTTAAAAATCTAAAAACACATCTACCATCCAATCCAGCTATTCCACTCTTAGGAATATTCAAAAGAAATGAAATTAAATCAGCATTTGAAAGAGAGATCCACAGTGTTATGTTTATAGCATCTCAACTCACAATAACAAAGACATGGAACCAGCCTAAATGTCCATTAACTGATGATTGGTCCAAAAACACAAGGAAAATCCTGCCATTGGACACAAAATGAATGGATGTGGAAATCTCTGTAATAAGCCTGATCCATAAAGACAAGTATCAAATTGTCTCTCATTTGTGGCAATTAAATTACAGAGTATTTAAAAAGCAGTAAGTTATTCTTTTTAAAACAATAAGATACATCTTTGTCAAAATAGGAAAAAAATGCTTATCTAAGTAGTTAAAGTTTCTAGATACCAACAAATTTATAAGTAAATGTACATTTTTACTCTTTTTAGAGTTTAGGAACATTTGAAATAAACTCTTTTTTGTACCTCTAATCATGTGCTACTTCCCTATAAAATGGTACATATACTTGAATTATGCTAAAAGAGATAGGAGGAGAGAGGCACCAATTTGGCATCTGGGGGTGAGGCAACAATGAGCTGAAACACATCTAAAGTTGGGGCAAACAACCAGAAAGTGTGACATGAGTATTTGCTGCATCTAGCACAGTGTATCAGCAGCATACCTGCTCATCCTCTCTCTGTCTCTCTACCTCCCTCTCTCTCTTTGCATATACACACACACATTACATATTATGTATTCATATGTTGAAGTACACACATACACACATGTTTGCAGCCATGTCTCAAAGTAAGCACAAAGTATGGTGGGAGGCACCAGTTGAGACCCTTCCTCCCAGACGGCAGTACCCAGGGTTCAGCCTCCAGCTGTGGCTCCAGTGATGGCTAAGAGGCTAGGCCACTGCCCCTCACCTCCCCCGGAAGATCTGGACTGAGTTCCCGGCTCTTGACTTTGCCAAGTCCAGTTCTGTCATTACAGGGATCTGAAGGAGGAACTTGGGAAAGAGAGTTCTCTACTGGTTTCTGTCTTCCATCTCTCAAACATTGTAAGAATTAAGTTAAAACATAAACATGCCAACTTAAACAGTGACTTCTTCCTAAAACTCCATTTGTCGTTTTTGTTTAGGCCTGGAGAGCTCTGCGCAAAAAGAGAAGTCACTGTCCCCACTGGCAAGTCTAACTGGAATATCACTATTTCTGATTATATCCATGTGTCTGCTTTTTCTATGGAAAAAATTTCAGCCTTACAAAGGTAGGTTAAAAATTTTTGAATTTCTTTGAATGTTTCATATAAATGCTAAAAAGTGTCTGACTGTGTTTTCTACTGTCTTGGCTTTAGTTATAAAACAGAAGCTGGAAGGCAGGTAATGCATATACTTCTACAGAAATAATTTTTTCTTAAATATTTATTCCTCAATTATGATCCATGACAGAATCATTTGTTTGTCTTTTCAGGCCAGAAACAGATTATCGGAAAGCTCAGACATTTTCAGGTAACTGCCAACCTGGAACGGGATATGTCAATCTTAATGTTAGCTATTACATAGCCATATAATGTAATATTACTGTAGTGTAATCAACAGACACCCACATTCATATAACATCAACAATCCCTTACTTTGAAATACTGCCTTCGTGTTGTAAAGCGTAGTCTTTTGCACTGATATTATGAAAGTCACAAGCCTTCAGCCACTCCAACTTCATTTTAGACAAGATAGCTGAGGGTCAGAGAATGTCATATGCTTACAGCTACAGAGTTTGGTTGAAGCTTAGTCCATTGATCCCATTATTACTTTGAAAATGCCAAAGTATTATCCTACATTGTTTATTCTAAAGGCAGAGTTTAAGATGCCATCTCACTGCCAGGAGGAGAGCCAGGGAGGGTTGGCAGAAGCCAGCATCACTCTGTGTCCCAGTGTGGCCTCATTATCATCACGTGCTCATTCTGTTGTTACACTGCAGGTTTTGCTTAGACCTCAACATCATCCGAGCAGGCTTTCAGTCCCGTATAAGCCACTTTCTCCTTAAGTCAACTTGGGAAAGTCCTTTTTCCTGGTCTCTATTTCCTCTTCTCCATAATGAGAGAGAAACTTTCTGTTAGTGCTGCTAGGAGATTTAAACAAATGAGTATAGATAGTGCCTCATGGATACCTGGATGCTTAATATGTGGGTCTTCTGCCTCTTCCCTGGGCGTGCCTCTCTCACCAATAACTCAGTATCCAAGCTGGGAAGGTTTCCAGACACCATGGGATTCCTCCCATCACTGCCATCCATCCCCATCATTCTATAGTCATGGGCTTGGAGGACCATGTTTTGTACTGTACTGGGTTGCATCAGCCTAGGCAGCTGTAGGTGTTTCCTCTTTGTACTTCTGATGGCCCTGTTAACTCTGGCAGGTGCAGTCAATGGTATGTGTGATCCAGGGCTGCTGCAGGCACTGGGGCCTTGGGCACTGAGGGTTAGGAAGCCCCACAGGTGTCTCTGGACACAACATCCACATTTCTTCCTGCAGCCTTTAAGAAGGGTCAGTGCAGGGCCTGGCATGGTAACCTAGTGGTTAAAGTCTTCACCTTGAACGCCCTGGGATCCCATATGAGCACCAATTCATGTCCCGGTGGCCCCAATTTCCCATCCAGCTCCCTGCTTGTGGCCTGGGAAAGCAGTTGAGGATGGCCCAAAGACTTGGGACCCTGCCCCCACGTGGGAGACCTGGGAGAGGCTCCAAGCTCCTAGGTTTGGATCAGCTCAGCTCTGGCTGTTGCAGCCACTTTGGGAGTGAATCATGGAAGATCTTCCTTTCTGTCTCTCCTCCTCTCTGTATATCTGACTTTCCAATAAAAATGAAGAAGAAAAAGAAGGAGGAGGAAGAGGAAGAAGAAGAAGAAGAAAAGGAAGGAAGGAAGGAAAGAGAAAGAAAGAAAGAAAGAAAGAAAGAAAGAAAGAAAGAAAGAAAGAAAGAAAGAAAGAAAGAAAGAAAGAAAGAAAGAAAGGAAGGAAGGAAGGAAGGAAGGAAGGAAGGAAGGAAGGAAGGAAGCACTTGGCTGCACATCTCAGCTCTGCAGGGAATGCTTTCCTAGCTTCATGACTAGGGGGCGGGGATTAGGAAATGATAGCCTGGCTTTACACACACACACCATTTAAAACAGTAAAGCTTTCCACAGGTTTCTAGAACTAGCAACAGCAAATCAAAAGGCACTTGGTTTGTAAGTGTCATTTGCTTCGTTTCCAGGCCACGAGGATGCACTGGATGACTTTGGGATATACGAATTCGTTGCCTTCCCAGATGCCGCTGGTGTGCCCAGGGTTGGTTTTCCTGGTAACAGATTAACCATACTGTGGCTTATGTTTCTCCACAGATGTTAGTGATGTTTATCCGAGCCCTTGGGCTTTGTGGTCAAATGGCTGAGTTAGCCAAGGTGGCATCCAGCAGGGACATCTTGCTCGGTGACGCATGGTGCTGCTGCATCTGGGGAGCCAGGACATGTGTCTCAGCCTGCATCAGTATAGAAAAAGTGAAAATGAGAGCTGTGCCAGCTCATGAGCACTTGGTACCACCTGAGCTCAGGGAGGTTGAGGACACTAAGCAGGCTGAAAGTCAGGGAAACTGGATAATGACAGGACCAAGAGAGTCTGCTTGAATCTTTCTGTAGATTGACGCCTGAGGATCCTTACGTGGCTCTCTGTTTCCTTGGGAGCACCTCTTGGGGGCACTGCAGAGCTAGCTGCTGATGCCCTTGAAAATGCCCGTAGGCTCATGAGAAGGAGCACGTTGCCCAGACCCACAGTCTGCAGATTATACATTGTTATCAGTATCTGAGAGCTACATGATGTGAGATTAGGAGATTCCACTGTATACGGTGGAAGTCAAGTTTTCAGTCCAAAGAAAAAAAATCTTCCAAACCATCAGTTTTGTTCAGACATGTAGAGTGTTTCTGCACTTTTATAAATTCCCACAGGACAACTTTTCTTCTGCTTCCTTTTCCCAAAAAAGAGTTCACTTATGAAACGGGCTATAAATCAAAAACTGCATTAAAGAAGGAGACATAAACCAATTGCTTGCTTGGAGCCTTCTCATGTCTCGTTTTGGAAAGAACCATTTACCTTGGGAAATGGTTGCTTTGTTTATTCAGAGCATTCCATCAATGTGTAAGGATCTTGCAGTGAGGTCCCTGGGCACAGGTCTAGTTTCAGAAATGCCATATGAGTGAAGGAGAGGACCTGATTGGAGTTTATTCTGGTGAAGGGTGTGTCTCTGGCACCAGCACCTGAACCATCTCAGATGCATGGAAGAGCTGCCCTGCAAAGAGCTCTTTCCAATCCCAGGCTGGTTTGACTCACTCTTCAGTCCCGCAGCCAACAAAGGTGAAGGTAAATCCTTGGAGAATCAATTATGTCAAACAGCTTCTCATACTGGCAGGAAGCTCCCCTCTAATACATAGCTTCAAATGGGCAAGCCACAACCCCATGCGTTCAAATGTATAATGAAATTTTTGAAGTCATGAGTTTCTTTATTTAAAATAATGCATGCTTTTTATTCATTGTAAAAACAGTGAGGGCTGTGTAAGAATCTTCCAATTTAGCCTGGGGATCACTCAGTACTCAGTCTGGGGTATTGGCTGGAAGGATATATGTGGGCTCGGAAGGCTCCAGTACTCAGCGACTTGAAGCAGAGAAATAGGTTATTTGAGAGCTTGCCAGCAGCCCTGCTTATTTCTGTCATAAACAGAATACACTGACCTGCGCCAGGGTCATCTTCAAAGCAAACACTCCTGAGGAATCTGCTGTTCTTGCCAGGTGCTTTGGGAAAGAAACGCAAAACCAAACCAGTAACTCAAGGAAGAGGAGGGGAGGAGGCAGGCAGGGGAGGAGGAGGGAAGAGGACCCACGGGGGACAGTCACAGAATGGCAGTTAGATGAGAAAATCAGCAGCTACCTACAAGAACCCTGTGCAGAAAGCAAAAGTAATAATAAAACTAAAACCACACAGTTGAAACTTGGATGGGAGATGCACTGAACTACTAATCATATTATGCTTTTAAAACGAATCTCTTGCCTTACTGTGACATGGGTACAAATGGGGCGTATCTCTATCTGTTGTACACCTTACTGTCTATTTCGCACCTCTTTCAGGAACTGGACAGGATGGAATTGCATGAGACGGACAACTTTGCTATTTAACAGTTCCAATATTATGTTAGTGGAGCAAGTTAGGGATGATTTGTAGATTGCTTTCACCATACCCCCTGATCACTTCTTTACCAAAAAAAAAATTAAGAGCTGATCTCAAACACAAACTTGTAAACCCTAATGGTAGGATGGGGCCAGTATTGTATATAACAGATATAAAGTTGCTGCCTATATGGGAACCAATTCATGTCCCAACTTCTCCACTTCCAACCCAACCGCCTGCTAATGGCCCTAGCAGAATCAGTGAGGGATGACCCAAGTGTGGGCCCCAACTGTCCACATGGGAGACCCAGATGAAGCTTCTGTAGCTCTTATTATCAAATAAATAGATTAATCTTCTTTTTTAGAACTATGGCAGGAAAAATTATATTTTGGAGGGTTACCCATGAGAGCTTTAGCAAGCAGAATGGGAGAAGGTGGTTTCTAGGAATCATAAAACACCTTATTAGGTCCTATCAGGCTGGGGTGAGATCAGAGAACTGCCCAGACATACCAAGGCATTGAGTCTCCCATTGGTCCTGAGTTGCAGAAACAGGAAGGACTGAAGTGGCAGGCATGTGATTTGGAAAAATTGTTTTAAGTTGATATTTGGAAAAAAATCAGATTTGATCTAAATAATTGATGACAATGCTCCCAGGAATGAGGAAAATAAGCAGAAGAAATAGGAGTAAATAAAATACAAATGCCAAGTTTCAATGAAAGAAGTTTTAACCAAATGAAGTATTATTTCCATTCTCATCCAGTGCTTCAGTTTTCAGAACCCATTACTACATTCAAGCTGAAACATCTTCCTGTGTGTGTCATCTAGTTCTTCTTACTGCCATCACTCGTGATGGGTGGAGGGCTCTGGGCTGTGTATTATCCTTTACACCGCCTGCCCCCACTCCCACCGCCCCGTACATGTTATTGGCAAGTAATGTCAAGAGGCCATTGAGATATAGCAGAAAAGTTGATCATCTATGCTTTCTGATTCCACACTCTCTTGATAGTTCCTCTTTTGTTATTTTGTCTTTTTACTTAGTCCTGGCTTCGTTCTTCTTAGATAAAGGAAAGAACTGATGGCCCGATCTTACTTAGAGTTATGTTGACCTTAGAGTTATGCTACTGTATAAACAGCCAGAGTAAACGCATGGAAACTGTAGCAAGGATGAAACGAACATTCTAGAGTGATAAGCACTTCTCTAATCGTCACAACTGTCCACGGTGTTCGATGCATAGTGGCAATACCATCTGCTAGTGTTTCATTAATTTTTCCTGTGTCACATTTTTTAGATGCCAAGCAGGTCTGTCCGAGTGTCTGAGGGTGTATCAGGGCAAGACGTGCACAACACAATTTATGAAGTTATTCAGCACATCCCTGCCCAACAGCAAGATCACCTAGAGTAAGTATAAACCTCTCTCCATTGGGTGTGCTATGGAACCGCTCAGCATTCAGTCTCTGATTACATTTGAAGACTTAGGAGAAAAATCTTGAATTGAAAATGATGATTTCTACACATCAGAAAATGTGTAGCATACGTACCCATGTAATAATGGATCACAAAATGAGCAAACACCCAAAATGGTTTCTGGGGCTATGCCCTCGGGACTGTGGCCTTGATGCCAGCCTCCGGAATTAACTGTCTGCTGTGTACATTTCTCCCCCGTGGTATTCCCCCAGGGAATTGAAACCTGGGTGTGAAAGGAGCAGCCAGGGCAATTCTCAAGCTGCCTGGTTATCTTGGCGATTTGCCAGTAGCTGTGTTAGTTTTGAAAGCCGTGGTGACTTGTCACTCAAAGCAGGACCAGGAAGCAAAGAATCACAAAGGAGCTTCCTGGCACAGTAAGCATCAGACACCCTTAGGATCCACAGCAGTCTACTCCCACGGCAGACACTGAACATTGAGCTTAAGTGGGCTGTGTCCCATATTGGAATGTCTACGCTCCATCTCCAGCTTCACCACCAATTCAGACCTTGGGATGCAGCATGACGACCCAAGGCAGCACGAGTGGATCTCTGCCACTCACAAGAGAAAACCAGAGTTCCTGACTTGCAGCCCCAGCCTGGGCTAGGCTACAGAGGACACTAGGGAAATGAAATCAACAAATAGGAGGTATCTCTATCTCTCTTTTTCTCTTTCTCTCTCATTCTTTCTCTCCCTCCTTCCCTCCTGTTCACCTTCACTCTCAAATAAGTATTTTAATCAAGTAGTCTACACCCAGGTGAATAGAAGTGAGGCCTGATCTCTCACCCAGAGAGAGTAAATTCCACCTTGTGGAAGTCAGGAAACTACTGAGTTCAGGGCCGCCACTAAGGAACTTTCCCTGCTCCCTAGCTGGAACAAGTGTGCCCAGTCTTTTGCAGTCATGAAATGAGCACCTGCAGTTTGTAGCTGCCTATGGGCATGACTGCCACAAACTGTCTTCCATTTCTTTATTTGTCATTTACTGACTTTGAAAAGAACATCAGTACCCAGAGAAAGACAGTTCCAACAAAATAATCTATACACACCTCTTTGCGAGCACAAAAATAAAAGCCAGGAATGATTGAGTGCATGGGAACATGGCCTCTACCTGGGCCAGAACCCACCCATCTTGGGTCTGGGGTGGGGGATGGAAATTAAGTAGTCAGTCATTTAAAGGGGAAGACCCATGAGAGGACCGCAACAAAGAAAATTTGCCTGGAGTCATGTAAACAGGAAAGATCCTGAAGGAGCTAGAAATTTCTGTTTTCAAAATAAAAAGACATTTGGCTAAAGCATGTGGTTATTAACCTAACAGAATTGCTCAAGGGTGGGATGAAATTCCAAGACAGTATAAAAATAAAACTCATTAAAATAATCCCTAACTCTCTCTACTTTCTGGAATAGAAAATTAGAGGAATGCTTCTTTGTCTCTCTTTTTTATTCTCTGTCTTTCTATCTCTCTGGTTGACACATAATAATTGTTCACATTTATCAGTTACAATGCCAATAATTGACTAATGAATAATTGTGTAATGAGAAAATTAGATTAATTAGCATATTTACTCCCAGAATTTGAGGGTATGTTTGTTTTCCTAAAAATCAATCCAACTAAAATTTTTACCCTATTTAAATCCAGTTAATTTTGTCATTTGTTCTAAACGCCCATATTCTCCACTAGGATGAAAAAAAAACCACAGATGAAAAATTAAAGGTAATTACCTAAGAATGAAGTAAACGCTGTATTTAAATTGTTACGTGTAGCAGCTACAATTTGGGGACACAAAGTCATTGGATTTTTAAATGTATGTCAAATAATTGAGGTTTTGTTTAAAAAAAAATCACTTTCTAAAGCTGCACACTTTGCAAACACAAACACAATCTTTAGTTAACAATGAAGCAGACATGCCCTTTTCTGAGCCCGTACAAGACTATTCAAAACTGCTCTGGAGCAGAGCATCTTGGGAAGGCAGCCGCCCCAACACTCCTTCCCAGCCTGCTGGCATGGCACCCTTGCCAGCCAGGGCTCTCTGCCCACCGCTCTGAGCCTGTCTTCCAAGTCTGTGACTGCCAGTGTCTGTCATGTTGTCCGTCCCCTTCCTTTCATGCCTTCCTTTCCTGGGGATGCCCTTCCCTTCTCCCTTCTCTCTAATTCCCTTTTAAAACTGTTTCTCCCATTTGTCCCCAAACTCACTCAAATGGGGAGCCAACATGTTAAAACTGTTACATTCTTTTACAGATCTACTTTATTTATCCTATTAAAAATAAATAAATAGAATGTTTCTTTTTGAATCAGGAAACATCCTGTACGTTCTTATTATCTGAGAGGCAAAAGTGACAAAAGGGATAAGTAAACAAATAGAGAGAGCTCCATTCCACCAGCGTACTCACCACAGCCCCGGTAGCCAGGGCTGAGCCAGGCCAAAGCCAGGGCCCAGTGCAAGTCTCTCCATGGTGGGAGGGACCCGGGTCCTTGAGTGGTCAGCGGCTGCCTGCCAGGATGCACACTGAGCAGAAAGCCGGAATCAGAAGCAAAGCTTGGATTTGAACCCAAGTCCCTTTGCTATGAGATATGATTCTCTTAACTGCTGAACCAAAGGGACTATCCCTGCACTGATTTTATTAACAAGCAATCTACATTTCTTGAATATTTACTATGTGCTAGGGAGCGAAATGAAATAAAGTTAGTGGGCCCTCATTTGCTTATTTCTCCTAAAAAGATCCTTCATAAAATAAATATTCCTCAATAGAAGTGCTGGCTGTGGATGTAGAGGGGTTTGTTTTCCCTCCCAATTGTCTAGGGTTTTATTCACAAATAAATTCAAAGATGAATTCCATGAGTAGTGAAACACTATATTCTCCTGGCTCCCAACTCCAAAATGAATGCACCACTTCAACAGAAAGGATCTCAACTTCATTCTTTTTCTTACCTTTGAAAATAACTTGTGATATAGGAAATAGAATCAAACAACCTTCTTTGGCTCTTAGACAATTTTCTCGAAGGCATGTGTCTGTGACCCAAGAGGACTGCTGTTAAACAAATTCATAAATTGGTCTGTGTTCCTATTCTAGCACTCAGCCCCACTGTTTACCAAACACCTGTTGACCTCATTAAATGGTCTTGGGGTACTTGATTTGAACTCAAGGCTAACTGTAGGCGTCTTAAAAACCAAATTCAAAAAAGTAAGCCTTGAATTTCAAGGGGAATTACCTACAGGGTGTAATGATTACTTACTTCTCAAATTTTTTCAACTGATAAATGTAATTCTCTCTAAGTTCCTCAAAATCTCATACTTTGCAGAGCTATGTTGAAGTTTCTTTCACCTACAGACCTGGGATCTGTAAAACAGTTTACCTGTCCTATAGGTCTCCTTGCCAGATGAACCTTCAAGAGCAAAGCAGGATATTGGAATGAAATAATGAAGCAAAACCAATGGAGATGTATCTCCCTCTGGAATCAGTGAAGAAGTCAAGCCAGTACTCCTTACACTGCTTGCTTTATGTGTGGAGTAGAGATGTTAGACAAGTGGGATTCCTAGACAACGTACTGTCTTGTGCAACAGAGGGCAATGGGTCCTGCTAGTTGGGAGGAGGAAATGAGCTCCAGGCTAGACTCTCAGAAACACTGATACGCTCCTGTGTCATCTGAAAGCCTTTCAGCAGACTGCTTTACTACACTCTCCTGACTGTTAAGATGTCTGTATATGATTTCTCTTATTTACAAATTTCTTTTTTTTGTTCTATGTACTACAAAGTAATGATGGTTGTTACAAAAGCAAGATTGTGTCTTTTCCTTGATGGTTCATCACAAAGAGTAGTTGTGAAAGGCCTAGTTAATGCTTAAGGGAACAACTTAAGCCATTGTTTTTATTTTTAGTTTCAGAAAAAGATACAAATAAATTCTGCTTTTGCTTTTTTTTTTTGTCTTGTTTCTTCATTTTATAGACTAAATGTATTACATATATGTCAGATCATAGAACTGAATTTTTTATTCTTGTTTGCTATTGTTTAATAAAGGAGAGATAAAACTATTAAAATAAAAATTTTGCTCTCTTGTGGCTTATTGTTTTATAACAAAAAATTAAAATAAATTTTTGTGTTTTAAATGTTCCAAACAAACCACTAACACTGCCTTGCCCATGTTTTTGTAGAAAGCACAAGGTGGAAAAAAAAAGTCAGATGACTCCTTTTTGATCTTTTCTAGCTACCATCTTTATAATTTTTTTCTTCTGGAAAAGTCTATCATTAGTAAGCATAGAGATTTTCTTTACATTTCATGAAGAAAAAAAACACTTTTTCTGATTAGGAAAGGAATTCATGTTTGCTTTAAAAATGAATATATATCTGGAAACCCAGACTGCTTCTTGCAAGGTCATTAAAATCTTTTGTAATCCTACCTCTCAGAAATCCCCTGCTAACAGCTCCCCAGGGTGTTAGAGGATTTAAGGTCATTCACATAGATGTGCAGTATAACAAGATAGAGTATACCCAAAAAATGGGCTTGGTAAGGTAAACAGAGCGAGGGACCAACGAGAGGCAATGTAAGAGCAGAAATGGCCTGTGAGCTGTGTTCCCCTTCATCTGAGGGCATTGTTTTCCACGCCCAAGATCACGTGGCAAATTCACCTTGCATCCAAACATGAACTTCTGAGCTGAACGTCATTTGTACGTGACGAAGTTGGACAAAGGCTGCAGCCCCATCACAGACCAAGAGAGAGCAGGTGCATCCTTGCCATTAAGCATCCACCCAGGCTCCACCTCCTTTCTCTCCTTTCTCAATCCCTTGTGCCTCCTGAGCTGTTCTCTCTTCTCAGTGGACACACCCACCTGTAGTACACCAGAGTTGTTTCATGGTCTGCCCTTTCCTGAACCCAACCGTAATAATCTTTAATCTACCATGTCAGCAGCCCTTTCTTGAAATGGTTACAGTTATAGGATTCAAAAACCAAAACCCTGGAAAAAGTAGGATTTGGGAAGTGTAGGTTTTAATTTGGGGGTTGGCTGTAATTGTGATTCCTTTAGGGCTTCTCCCTACAAACCACGAGAAACATACATATCTATTTTTTCTTTTCTCGAATTCACTTTTCATTTATTTCTAATTCCTCTTATTTCTGTATCTCTCACACAAAAACGCTGAGTCCCTTAGCGTGTGGCTCCACTCAAAACAGCAAGCAGTTGCTGAAGAGGGAAGGGTGACAAGATCCAGAATCCACTAACTTTGGTCGTCAAACATGTGTGACACTGGGTGACTCACTGTTTTTCAGTAAATGGGGATGAAGATCTCATAAATTAATCAGGGTTTCTAAGAGAATTGGTGAACCAAAACCCAGATGTTCACCTAATCCACAAATTAATATTTAAAAAGCAGCTTAAAGCTTTTTCCTTATTACTAAATGCAATCTTAGCTATTGCCAGTTCTTAACCTACGTTACCACTTGTAACTTGGAATATTCTTAGTGCTTAGTATTTATAAGGAATATGTTATACATATAGACTTTTCAGCACCAAAATGCATAAGACTAAAATAGTTTTGATATTTGTACTCAGTATTCACAAAACGATTTTGACTAAATTGTACACATGTGCTCATAACACAAAGCACAATTCTATTACATTATAGAGCTTATACAGTTTAGTTACAATAATGTCACATCACAGGACTTAACATATAGCTACTTCTCGTTTCATTAGTTTTTAATTTACTTTTACTTTTTTAAAAACATTTTAAACTGACATACAAAATTGTCTAAATTGAGGCTGTACATCCATTGTATATGTTGTGGCATTCCAGTAAAGCCTCTGCCTGCTGGCATTAGCGTCTCAAAGGATAACCGGCTGCTCCGTTTCTGATCCAGCTCCCTGCTACTGTGCCTGGCAGAGCAGCAGAAGTCAGCCTGGGCATTTGGGCCACTTACCCACTCAGGAGATCCAGATCCTGCCTTTTAACAAGCACAGCTCCAGTTGATGCCAGGGTGCCTGGGTGGAGGAGGGCTGTGATTCTGAAATAGCTCTGCTGCATGCTCCTTTCTTGAAAGAAAAAAAAAAGGCATAGATGCAGAAAAAGAAATGGCGATGGTTTTTTTGTACAAGATAGTAGGTATTTTAAGAAACAATCTGCCAAAATGTGGTGGGGTGTACTGAATTCCTCAGTCTGGGTTGAAATAGGCGTGCACTGTTACAGAAGCTCAAGTATGACAGACCAGAAAGTCTGAAAATACAAGGTCAGAGAGCGTAGCCAAAGGGGTGTATGGAGCAGGTGAAAAACAGAAAGGGTTACTTTTCAGAATTGGCTGCAGTTCATCTGCTAGGAAGCAGTGTAGGTGAACAGCACAATCAAATCTTCCAACCTTGAACGGCTAGTGAGTACACTTCCTTAATTCTCTGCTGCCCCCTGGGGCCCAAGTCAGGAAGTGTTCCTGGAAAACATAAACTCCAGATTTTATGAAGCCTCCTAGGTTAAATTACCATTTTCATCATTCAATTATATTGCACCTTATGAACTTGATTAAATCATAGACTGGGACCTTGGCAATCTGCATGATCATATTTAAAATGTCTAGACTCTTTAACTCACTAATCCTATATCCAGGAAATAACACAAACGATAAAGATACCGAGGAGTTCTGTTGCCTGAAGCAATCTGGAGGGAGTGATGGGAACTGTGCTAAACGAAACACTCATTATGCCAGGTATGGTGCAGAAAGACAAACGTGACATGGTCTCAAGTTTGATCCCAAAGAAGTGGAGGATAGAGTTGTGGTTATTGGAACCTGGAACATGTGGACAAGGAAGGGACACAGAGACAGTGGCTAATAAGGACAGGGTGCAGGTGGATAGGAGGAGACAAGATGGAACTTGCTGATTCTTCTGAGTGAGCACTGTGTACACAAAACACACAGGGAAGCCCAGGTAGAAAAGCAAGCCCAACACCCGTACAACCAAGCACTTTTCTGTTCGATGGACTCAAGGAAAATTCAGAAAGACCAAGACTAGATGTGAACACTTAGAAACCATGGAGAAAACTACAGGTTCTATGGTCCAACGGTTGAGTGCTTATGTCAGAGCTGCGCCTCTTCGGTGGCTTAGGTGAAACAGTGGACAGCATAGCCAGGCGCACACGGAGGACATGGCAGTACGTTAGAGCCTGCAAAGAATACCTGGTACCATAACAGAGGACGGAGGACAGAACAAATTGATCAACTACCCCAGCCAAGTGGTAACAGTGAAAATCTGGGCAAATGGAGACTCTAAGGTGGACTATGTCAGCCAATGGATTCTGGAGAGATTTCATTATACCTGGAGTGGTGAGACTGGCAGCAATTCAGAACTGTTGAACTATTGAAACTACTTGAGCAAGACCCTTGGAGCATGCCCCACAATGGGGACCCTATAATGGTTGGGAGGCTGGGTGTGGCTTCTCCCTTTATCTCTCTCCCTTCCCCAAACACAGGAAGGAAAAAAGAGAACGTGGAAACAATAGTCTTACCCACTTTCCTCTAGCCCTACTCTTTGTGCCCTAATCAACTATGTAAAGATCATCAAAAATGAAAAAAAAAAAAAAAGAAAAAGAAAGAAAACCTGAAGAACTCAGAGAGGTGTGGAGAGGCACGATGCTCCAAGACCTGGGACAATCACACTGCGAGAGGAAGGGAAACAGCCTCCCGGACAGTGTCTTTCACAGGAACCTGGGTGGAGTCCAGATACTCCAAGGAAAGACAGGAAGCGGAATATTGGAGTGAATGATACACAGAGAAGTTACCAAAGAAGTGAGGGGAAACAGCCCCCTCCAGTCTGGGAGCAGACACAAAGAACGTCCTAGGTCTTAGGATCGTATCAATCATTGTACATTACAAGACAGGAAATCCTTTAACATCCAAAAGCTGCTTTTTCACAAACTACACCTGCAAATCACAGCTCTGTTCCCGGAATTCATTCCTAACAGCACATCGGACGATTGCTGAATGACTTTCCTACACGATTGCCTCATCTTACATCACCTTAACAGGAGACTTGCCATCCTCATCTGAATAGACAAAGCTGAGAAAGAGGAAGAAAATGACACATGGCCAAGCTCACAGGGCTAGAATATTGTAGAATAATGACATCCCTCCCCCCTTCTTTCCAATGGGTCTGATGCAATTTTGTCATGTAAGTCACACATTCAGCAGTCACCAGGGTGGTATGTGTTGTAGAGACATCCAAGGCAGGGAAAGCAAATACACGCAGAGTGCATGTCACTTCCAGTAAGCAAACAGGAGTCCGGGCAGGCAGGTCTAATGACAGCAGTCCACCCCTCACGCCCCAAGGTTGGCACTTCACTGAGGCTCAGCACTGGTCTTTGCTGAGCACCTTAGGTAAACCAGCAGGTGGCAGTAGCTACGTGCAGCCACCAGGCACATAACCCACCACAAGCCTGTCTTCCGTGCATGCTTCCGGGAGACACAGCACAAGGCAAAAATCACCAAGTGTAAACTCACTGCCAATGATCCACCTGTATGCCTCTTCCCCAGACTCCCTCCTTTCCAATATTCTATTTTGTTCCCTGGACCCTGAACAGCAGCCTAAGCTGTGGCTTTACACGTTCGCACACTTCAGCTCCTTCTCCCATTCATACCAATGAACGCCTAACTGCACTGCATGTGATCCTGCCCGCCTTCCACACGGTGTATCCAGGTTACTGCTGAGGGCGACTGCAGTACAGCAAGCGTCCGTGGTTACCACCCACATAAAGAGCTGACCCTCTCCAGTGAACGAAACCTTCGTTTCTACCAGTTCTCTCAGTCATGAAGGCACAAGGATAATGCAAGGAAAAGCAACTGAGGCACACAGTGTGGAATTCTTTATCACCTGTCTGTGAAATTACCTGTGACCTCTGGACCTGCCCAGATTTTACTCACAGGATCACTGGGTAAACTAAGGTCAAGTGCTTCCCTTCCTCTGGGACTCTTTCAAACACCAAGTAGTTCTCTGAGCAGAAGGCGCTCCTTTGTGTAAGTACTGCCCCTGGGGATGCTGTCAGCTCAAAATGCCTGTATCCTTACTGATCCTAGTTCTGTGGCTGTTCCTACTGTCACCCCTGGCCTTCAGCAGACACCATGATTGAGCTTCTCAAAGACGTTAATGACCTGAGCCAGTGCGGTACATATTGGCTTAAAGAGAGTATTCTCTGGAGTTTCCAGGAAAATTCAGCAAATAATGGACTCTCAGAGAGCATAGAATATATCATATATCAAATTTATCCTAGGGGCTGGAATTGTGGCATAGCATGTTAAACTACTGTTTACCATGCTTGCATCCCTTTTGGGCACCAGCTTAAGGCTCAGCTGTTCCACTTTTAATCAGCTTCTTGTTAATACGTTTGGGAGCAGCAATGACCCAAGGGAGCTCCTGATTCCTGACTTCAGCCCGGCAGAGCCCAGCCCATTGTTGCCATTTGTGGCATGACTCAACAGAAAGAAGGGGTGTAGGTGTGTGTGTGTGTGTGTCCCTTTCTCTCTCTCTCACTCTAACTCTGCTTTTTAAATAAATAAAATTTATTTATTTATTTTTACTTTTTAAATTTTTATTTTGTGATGATTTTTACATAGTTGATTAGGGTGATAAGGGTCAAGGGCTACAGGGAGGTGGGTGAGATCACCATTTCCACATTCTCTTTTTTTCCTTCCTATATCTGGGGGAAGAGGAGAGATAAGGAGAAAAGCCACATCCAGCCTCCCAAACACCTCTGTACCTTGAGTCCAGCCACTCGACCCCACCAAGGGTGCCCGATATGGGGCATGCTCTGAGGGCACAGCTCAAGAGGTTTCAATAGTTCAACAGTTCTGACTTACTGCCGATCTCACTATTCCAGAAACAATGAAATCTCTCCAGAATCTACTGGTTCATATAGTCCTCCTTAGAGTCTCCATTTGCCCAGATTTTCACCACTAACACTTGGCTGGGAATAACTGATCAATTTGTTCTATCCTCTCTCCTCTGTTGTGGTGCCGGGTGTTCTCTGCAGACTCCAATGACTGCCATCATGTTCCCCATGTGTACCTGGCTATGCTGTCCACTGTTTCACCTAAGCCACTAAGGAGGCCCAGCTCTGACACAAGCACTCCAAGGTTGGACCATGGAACCCACAATTCTCTCCATGGTTGGGGTTCTAAGTCCAGCGATTCAACTGGGGGTATCCCCAAAGAAACTTCATCTGACCTGACCCAGTCCTGATTCTTGTGTGCCTGCCAATATAATGTCTGGCACAGTCCGTTGTCCCAATCAGCTTATGCATTCGCTGATGGCTACAATTGCTGGGTCAGTTCTCCAGACCTGTCTTCTACACAAACCAATGGGTGTTACAACCCAGTCTGATCCTGCCCATTGCACACTCAGCCTTCATTTACACCAGTGGTAGTGGCCACCTAGTTGGAGAAACCCATAGTAACTCCCACCGGGCCTGCCCCCTGCCCTGGTACCTGTACAGCAGCCAGTTCATACAGCAGACTGGTCCAGTCTGTCCCACATCCCATTCAGCTCTCATAAATGTCAATGGGCATTGAAGCCTAGTTCAACCCAACTGAAACCACTATCCAGCCCACACACATGCTGGTGGGTGTCACTCTGTCTAATCAGCCCTGCCCAGTCCTGGTTCTCAGCCTCACCAGTCAGAATGGCAACTCAAAAGGGAGGTGCCCACTGTTTACCTACTGTGTCCACTCCCAGTCCCGGATCTTGCACTCTCCTGGTGGTTCTGCAGTTAACCTTGACAGAATTTGTCCCCAGTACCAGCATCTGCCAGCTGATGCTGCAGCAGAACCCAACAACCCACACCCACTCTGACTTACGCATGCACCCGAAGGAATAGTCAGCTCAGCCAGGCATTTCCCTAATCCAGCTCACATGAATCCAACAGGTGTTGTAGCTCTGCCCGAGCTAGTCTGCCCCCATCCTAATTCATGCTTTCCAGTGGGAGTGATGGTCCATCAGGCGGGCCACTCACAACCCTCCTACCAGCTTCGCCCCCTTTCCCTTTAGTCTCACGTGTT